TAGTATTTCTTAGTTTAAGGATAATGCCAATATAATGAATATTAACATAGTATAGTCAGTGAAGAAAGATGAGAGACGGAACGTGTCAGTCCAACCTGTACCGGTTTCACTGAGAGGCTCATCAACCCTTTACCACAGCTCCGTCCACTTCTGAATTTACGCAAGATCGACAAAAGCTGACAGGAAGGCAAATCATCTGTCGACAGATTGTCATTATCGGGTCCCGAGAGATAAAATGAGTTTACTGAATAAATGCATCGGCTGCGGTTTGTCGTCTCATCACCATGTGAAAGGCGTCAAGAGCTTGCTATGTTATGCAGTAGCCTAGACTTGATAATAGAAACCGGGCATATTATACTGCAGGGGTGACATCATCGCATAAAGTGAGGCAGTTGTAAAATGGCTTATTATGCTTTCAACGCCTATCGATGGTTCTGACCGTTGAACGTTGCCTGGAATACGATGATGTACGGAACATGTTTCATGCATGCAGCTTTTGATGCCTGCTCTGCTGAAAAGCTGACACGGAGTAAAACAATATGCCGAAATAGAATCCCATTAGGGAATATCGTATTCATCAATGAAAGCTGGTTTGTGATTGCTCTATGAATGAAACCTTGAGCGGATACTTGATTGAGAAGTCCCTTAGTCTTCGATGCTGTGGACCTTCACATCACATGGAGCTTGCTATAAAAGGAAGTATTAGAAACTGGTCAGTACGAGTTTCGTAAACAGCAAGAGACAAGCTGGCGGATTTGACAGCCCAGGTCCCGATATATCGATGAGATGGCTCATCTCATAGTCCACTACTGAGTCCCATACAGCGATAAGATTGAGTGACTGATGAGTGAGTGTTTGAGACTCCTCCCCCGCAATGCGTCTTACCTCTTTGCGCCAGATCCAGATGCAGTGACAAACTTGCTGGGGATAGAGATCCACTGAACAAGCAGGCATTGTATTCCCATAAGTGTCATACTAATTGCATCAGTTATGATGGTGTACTTTCTGTAGGTAAGTACCGTATCATGGATACTTTCTCCTCACGCCTCTTACCGTTTCCCAACTCAATTCATCTGCCTCAATCGGAACGGTCCGTACTGTGTCAATCCTCTAATACTCAAATCACCCATCCATTTACCCTTACCTCTTCTCACCGTCTCCTCATAGACTCGCATTCGTTTAACAGACTACCTCTGCGACCCCCTCTCTTACCGTTGTTGCACAAGAGAAACTAAGAGTTTATGGGCACCCGCTAATAAAGGCCCAGACGCCAAGTTGTATTTGCCCCAGTTTTCAACCCCAGCTTCGTCAGAACCCCCAGACTCCATCCGACCAGAGCCAGAGCCAGAGCCAGAGCCAGAGGCTGAGGGAAAGTCCTAACCCACCTTATGACCCAAGCGTCCTCCACTTTCTGTCAATGACTTCCCGGGTCCCGATCTCGACCTTGCATTGACTCTGATCCGAAGACGACGACAACAACCGAAAACGTAAATCACCGACTCTCGAGACCTATCTTTTACGGTCGACAGCTTGAATCTTCACTTGACTCGTCAGTACGCCATCGCGCGCCTAATCTTTCCAGAGGAGTTTGGTCTGAACGTGGCAATACCAGTTCCCAGCCGTCTGGAACCATCCACCAACGTCACATCAAAGATCCGACAACCCCGGCCGTACGGACGATCCAAAGACAACTTCGACTATACATACACGAAACAGCTAGAGACCCAACCCGCATCTTGAATACATCACAAACCTCCATACGCTACCCTCCAGCGAGGCACCTCTTTGCCACGCTGTGACTACAATGCTGTGGTCAGGCGCTGGCATTGACGCTGCGCTCCTCATCGCAGCCTGATGCGCTCCCTCCGAAACTCCGTCCCGTCCGGCGATAAACAATCTAATCTATCCATGAGGGTCGATATGGTCTCAAGAACCTCTAGCGATGGCCCTCCACCTGGGGGCGGCCGACAATGGAAGTCACTGATCAACAAGATCCCGAGACGAGGGGTAGGTTCAGCCAAGTTCATGATCAGAGGACTCATGCTGATGAAGTGGTGTAGATGAAAATAATCAGTCAACATCCTCCCGAAACTAGTACCTCCGACCTCGACCTTCACCTCAGATCTCCAGATGGTCACTCCACGAACCCTTTAGAAAGTCAAGAAACTCATATCCGACAACTGCAGGCCATTGTTCAGCGGATGCCTCGTAACTTTCCCACTACGCCCAACCACGTCGACTCAGCCTACAAAGACTTCGCAAAACATAAGGAGCAATGCGCTACACTCTGCCGACATATTCTCACAGAAGAACTCGGTCGCGGTTCTCGTAATGGTGGCGACCTCCCCCGCCGTGACTCAACCCTCGATTCCCCACAAAGTCCTGGCCAGATCTACGATACAAGAAGTTCTTTCAGTGGAAGAAGTCTAGCTGAGGTTGTCTCCGGAAGTGTTGGAAAGAGCATACATCAGACTGATGCTTGGCTGTCCTCTGTGCGTGACTGGAAGAACTACCTCGAGTCCCTCGCCGATGCTTGCCGGACGAGTCTAATTGAGACGTACAAGAACAACGAGCGCGATGCAACGCCGGAACAGGTGGAAGCCTTGTTCACGAATAAGCGGTTTCGAAAAGAGGCTGTGCAGCGAATGCGCAATGCCAGTGTAACCCGGGTCATGTCGGCAGATCCCCAATTTGTGTGTTTCGTCCTGGTCAGATCTGCAAGAGACCAACAGCTGACAAATTGTAGTTTCCGAAATATGAAATGCGCTTTTACGATTACGAGAGAATTAAGCAGGAGTTGAACGAAATAAGGCAGCTTCTGCAGACAGGAGAATCGGGAATCTCACCTGACCGAACCATTAAAGAGTATGCCATCTCGCAGCGCGGTGATGCTATACTAGAGTTCGCCAACAATGCACCTGGATGTAACCACAGCGACCCAGCACTACGTTTTCGAGTCTCGTCTTACATGCTCGCTGAGACGTCACCTATCTTTGCGCGCATGTTTGCAGGGCATTCTAGCAGTCTCCATCTATATGACGATGATGATATTTCGACACAGCTCCCGTTGCCCCCAACAAAGTACTTCTGTAAGGACGGCTCCGAAGCCAAACTTTACCGCATGCCACAGGTTGAACTGAACCATTTGGATTCTCTGGAGATTTTATTACACGCAGCACACATGCATAACGAAATGGTTCCACGAGAAATCGAATTCGAGCAGTTCGTTGCTATCGCCGAGTGTTGCATGCGATACAAGAGTACTTCTCCTCTGGAACTCATTGTCGAACACCGATGGTTGCCACAATGGATGCACAAAGGTGCTGATGACATGCCAGATGGGCTCTTGGTCATCAGCTACGCTTTTGGACTCCGTCGACTCTTTTCGCGAATGTCAAAGACTACAATTCTGAACCTCGTCGACGAGAAGGAATTACAAGCTAAACCTTGGCCTCAGAAGATCAAGGATAAGATCTGGGCTGTTCGTTGCGCAAAGATGGCACAAATTCACGAATGCTGTGTCAGCGCTATCCGCGAGTACATGAAGGAACCGACACACAATACGTTGGAAGGCTCGGAAGAGCTTTCACTAGAGGCGCGAGCCAGTTTTTCTTCTGATAGCTTACCACCCACGATGTTGACGAGTACACCAAGATGTCCCAAGGGCAGCCATTGGTGTGACGCCACAAACCTCGGATGGCTAATGCTGCTTTACAATGAGATGAACCTTCTGCCTCATATCATGGCACCAGATGCTTTGTCTCACTTACCCAGGACACAGCCACAATCGAAGAGTCTGGCACAGATTGTTGATGCGTTGAGGAGGATTCCAGCACCACCTACACCCGTACATCGAGGCGTGTGTGATCCTGGGCCAATGTTTCGCTCTGCCATCAGTGATATTTACAACAGCGTGCTGGGCCTGACACTATTTGACATCAGTGGAAAGAGCCATGGTTGGGGACTCTCGAAACACAGAGAACGAGAACCTCAAACTCAGCTCAACAAAGGCCTTGATCGGATGGCTGCACCTGATCCGAACTACAGCGTCGCTACCGAGTTTCCCGAGATCGTTCGTCTTCGTATTCTATGTCAACTGGATGAAATTGATGATCTTCACACAGCAGCGATGATCAGCCGAGCATACTACGAGACCTACAAGAAGCATGAACTATATTTAATGAGAAACATTCTCCGTATGGATCGGAAACGGACAGCGACTCGCAATCACATACCAATTGGTCCCACCACCAATGAAGAGAAGGTGCTCAGAGATGAATCGGAAGTGTTGAAGCGCACGCCAGCGGATACTGCAGACGGCATCACTCTTCACAGCGTTGTTGAAACAGAAGGAGACTATACAGACTCCGACGATGATGATGATAGTCTTTATTCAACTTCAGTAACCCCATCCCTTCCAAGATCAGCCGCTACTACGAGCACAACAACCAGGGGACGTGATTATCAGGGATCGTCGGACCCTGCGCTGATCACGGATAGCCCCGCACGGACACCACGCGCCCGGACCGGGACACCCACATCAAGATCCACCGGCATCGGATCTCCGACGACCCCTCGACAGGCCGTATTCGACCCACCACCGGCGTCTCCGACCACCGCACCACCAATAACCACAATCGACGAACCTCCTCTCACAGTCGAGGAAGCAAATCGAATTCTTTGGCCAGAAGATGCCATTCGAGCTTCCGAGTCACCATTACCAATAGCTCCAACAGGCATAGAAGGCATTCGCGAAAAGTTCCGCGCTGGAGATCCGGCGTTTGACGCGGGTCTTGAAGAGAAGACGCTTGTACCGACTGGTGAGAAACAATTACGAAGTGAACATGACAGACAGGTCGGATTACTGAAAGGCGGTGAATCTTCAAGTAAATGATGCAAAGATTTACATGACATTTATACGTTGGCATACGCAATTTTTGAACATCTACATATGATAGCGAGCGATACTTGGATGGACATGATATATGCTGTGGTTTGGCGCCCAAGTGACTTAGCATGGCATGGCACGCTGATACCCTTTGGCGCGAGGAGTTGAACTGTTGGATATACTTAACATTATTACATTTACCGAGGATGGATTATTTATGGCGTTGCATAAACTTTTTATGGGATTTATGAGATGCTCATACGATATTGATACTGTGCTCTGGCGTGGCGTGGTGGTTAACATAATTGACCAGGATCCTGAACCCTCGTCATCTCACCTCTGTCATCTCACAAATCAAATCATAACATTAGTCAATATGTCCCGTCCACTTAATCGCCACATGTCCTGTCATCGGCAGCCATCAGGTAAAAATGATCTTCTCTGTCCTTCGTGGGTATATTCACCCACATCAAACATCCAGTAGGTCCAGACCTCTCTGAGACATAGGGTAGCTTGCTAATCTTTGACTCCAGCATTACCAGGGACTACGCATGGGTTGAGGATGACTATATGGCTTTCAGCAGCATCATCTATCATGGATCCGACGAACCATGGGAAAATGCCCAAGAGTTCTTGACGTGGTGGCGCCGTAGATGTTGAGGATTATACTTGGGCTCACGGTGTCGGCACTGTTAAACTCAAGACAAAGCGTTTGGGAATAGAAGCTGTGTAAAGAATCATGGCGAGATAATACTCAAAAACGTTGTCTACGCGCCAAACTACATCTGCAATATCATAGGCGGAGGAGACCCCGACAAAGAGATCGAGAAGATGAAGAAAACTTTCAAGGGGGAACTACCATACTTGACCATCAGAGGATTGTATCGAAGACAAATGTTGCGGAACACGTATCAGGTGCAATTCGATAAGCATATGGGATATCGGGAGACGATAGACTGTGACTGGGCGTTTGCACCGGCTCTGAATGATTGGGTAAGTGAGGCTTGGGATGACACGAAGGGCTTCATGGATCATTTTAGGTTTAGGTTTGATGAAGCTAAGGGCTGTATGATGGCGGCTAAGCATGCTAAGAAACTTGCATGGGAAGCTGGGTTCGACTTTTCTAGTAAAGAGGGATTTTGGATGATGATGACTGAGAGTGGTCTGGCTGAGCTGTTAGAGAAAGGTCGGAGAGTTGCTCTACCGTGAATAGTCATTGGAGACTGAGAGAAGATGAATTAGAATAGGGTTGGGTAGAGTTTGGAGACTCTTGGCGAGATAGGGCTTGTGGAGAGATGGGTGCTAGCTTCGGGGTTAAAAGAGAACTCCGTATTTGATCTTATTTATCGAGATGCATACCAACTTAGTCATTGGCAATGTGGTGTAGTTGCTTTATGGTGCCCTTTGAGCTAGCAGGAGGATACTGGCTTGGAAACTTGTGGCTTACAGCCTTATGGCAAGGTTGATGGCGAGTCAGCAGGAAAGGAGGCTGAACTGGAGTTCTCGCATTTAGTTTAGCCAGTGTAGAGTAGATAGATCAGAGAGCAGATATGTATCTATACTGTAAATGCCTTTTGACGGACTTGATGGCGAATGTCTTGAATTTCGCTGATCTGGTAATGAAAATACAGAATTACATCCGTACTAGACCTCTGAAAGAAACTGGTCGTAAAGACTGCAATTGAACGAACCCTCAGTGACTCATAATGTCAGCATCTTGAGAAAGACACCCAAGCTTGGAATGCTATACTATTGTATTGCCTTTTGTTATGGCTTCTTGTAGTGAGCTTATTCGACAAGGACTGCCAAGAGGCTCCCAGTGGCTTTCACGAGTCCTTGAAGAATTGTTAACTCTCGGGCATGACTCTCAACTCTATCCCCGTCCCCTCCTGACCTAGCAACAAAAAATCCCATGGCTGTTATATCTTTAAAGCCCTTATGCATGTCCCCTTTCCCTGTGGTGAGTTCCCCGGAGCGCGCGCATGTTGTCGTTACGTTATATCCAGTAACTCTTCAGTCCGGCAGCCTGATCAAGCCCAGTTTTGGCCTTAAACGCCCGGACTCTTAGCCCATCGGATTGGGAATAGGAGCTGTCAAGTTGATGGAAGCATACTAGCTGATGGCTAGTCATGGGGCTAAGTTGAACTTGTCATCTGCCTGTGGGATCTAGTAGTCGCCCAATGCCTTCATTCGACTATGTTGTCCATTTCACAGGGCACCTTTAGCGAAGCTACCAGGTTAACAACTGCTTTTAGTCGAGGCTATTACTTGATTAGAGCTTGGAGCTGTGGATTATGGATAGCAAGAGAAGTGATAGGTTCATGTCCATGTGATTTAGCAGAACAGCTGGGAACTTGTGTACTCAATAGTTGAATAGGAATTTCAAGCTTAAGAATACGAATGTGATGCAAAAACATGATTCGAAGACACGGTTATGCGCATTCGGCAGCCGGCATTCAAGCTTTCCACCTGTGCTACCTATATCAGGAACGTCCATGGGACGAAGCCATCGTTTAACATACCAGTTATTCGGTATCACCGTTGGACCCTGCATACTAACATGGTAATAAAACCATTATTGGCACTTGGAAATGATCTTCGTTGGATGAAACAGTGTAGAAGAGGCGGAACACTTCTGTAGATCGCTTACCGGCGTTTGGACCCTTCAGCACAGAGCAGTCCACCTCATTCCATTTGCCAAAGCCCAATACTCAAGAATGCAATTAGTCACCTCTAGAATTTGAGTAATCAAGTCCGGCAGTCGACCTGGCGTCTACAAGCTCTAAATAGTGAACTATGCAAAAGCATTGAAGTATTTGGGTAGACTTGTCAAAAACCAAGACCGAGAACTCAAACATTTAATTAACATGGGAGGCCAAGCATATAATTAAGCTTCCTTGCCCGAGACCCTTGCCGATATTGGGTTACCTCGTTCTGTGATAGGAATGACATATAATGGTCCAGGCCGTGAAATGGGGTATCTTGCATTCCTCCGGGTTCCTGGAACCACCACGTTCTTGGCAAGGTTTAGCCTCATGTAAGGTCCCGACGGTTCTATATGTTCCTGCATTTAGTATAGCTTCACTAATACACTTTATACTCGTACGTGAGGCTTCTTTTATAAAGTGTTTTGACAATGTCGTGTAAGTTCCTGTTCTGCTCTTTGTTTTCTCTTTGACGAAAAGTGCCTGCCACCAACTCATACCCTCTTTGTCACTCCTTATACTATAATCTAAAATGAAGCCTGTTTATGCCTTGACGTTGTGCCTGGGCGTCACTGATGCTGTGGTGTTACCAGTCTTCTCAGCTCCCAAGGGTGGCTATGCACTTCCTCGACCTGATTCAGATGATACAACCGATTCTTCAAAGTCTGCGGCAGGATCAAAGACAAATTCGGATTCCATGTTTCCAGTCTTTGGAAAGACAAAGCCAAAGACTGGGTTCCCTGCTTCTGCCTTGTCGCGAAGACTTGCCAGGGTTGAACAGACCTATGGCTCTGATGAGGAGTCTACAGTTGATACGCCTACGGATCCATCTGATGCCACTCCATCAAGTTCGTCTGATGATACTCCCTCAGGTTCTTCAGATGACACGGATGAGGTGTATGCTGAGCCATTCATGCAACCGACTTATGTCCGCTTTGGCCCAGCTCCTGTTGATAAGCCAGAAGCAGCCCCCAAGGCCCAGTCAAAGTCTAAGGATACTGCGAGTGTAGCCAAGCATGGAAGTGACGATGACTCCAGCTCTGGCGGCCACAAGCAAAAGGGCAAGGATAAGAACAAGGGGAAAGATGGCAAGGGAAGGCACAACGGCGATGATGACGCTACAAAGTCTCGCAACAAGCCTGAGGATTCACCAAAGACATCTTCCAGCAGTGTAACAGATTCAGTATCTGTTACTTCGACCAGCACCACTGCACCTACGAGCTCGCCTGCAAGCGATGACAAGGGCAAAGGCAAGGGAAAAGGAAAGGGGAAGGGCAAAGATGACGGTGGTAGGCATAACGGAGATGACGATGCTACCAAGTCCCGCACCAAGACTGATGATTCCAAGACTCGATCATCGGCTTCACCAACGGCTACTCCGGCGTCTAAGAAGGGAAGTTCTGGAAAGCATAATGGTGATGACGATGCTGGAAAGTCACGATCCAAAGCTGAGGACTCCAATACCAACTCTAAGAAGAGCTCCAAGAAGGGTCCCAAAGACGACTCCAAGTCCAAGCCCTCCAAGAAATCCTTCATCACACATCAATCTGGCTCAACATTCGATCCCAAAAGCGCCAAAGGCGGCGGCAAAAACGGCCCCGGCTACAGTTCTTCTTTCGACATCCCCAAGCTCAACAAAGGCTACATCCAAGCCATCCCCCCCAAAGCCAGCACCATCAACAACAAGTTTAGCTCGCGAGTAAAACCCCGTCCCCAACTCGACACAGAAAAGGTCCGTCCCATTTCCTCCTCCCTCCACAAGAGAAATGAAAATGTACTGAGTCTCCGTGCAGCCGCGCCCTTCAACAGCGCCGCGATCGACCGCTCAAAGTGGTCAGTGACGTGTGATAGCGTGCATGAGGGGGATGCGTGTAAGAATGCTATCGATGGGAAGGATGATACTATCTGGCATACCCAGTGGGAGAGTAGTGAACCTGCGCCGCCGCATAGTATTACTGTTGATATGAAGAAGAGCTATAACGTCAATGGTATTTCTATGCTGCCGAGACAGGATGGCTCGCAGAATGGGTATATTGCGCAGCATCAGGTTCTCTTGAGCAAGGATGGAAAGGCCTGGGGTTCACCTGTGGCGTATGGGAATTGGTACAACGACTGGACTGTCAAGTATGCCAATTTCGATACACAGCCTGCACGATATATCAGGCTCGTTGCTCTCACTGAGGCGAATGGTAATCCTTGGACAAGCATTGCAGAACTCAACGTCTTCCAAGCGAACGACTACGTTCCTCCTCAGGCGTCAATTGGCGCTTGGGGTCCTACCATCAACTTCCCCATCATCCCCGTCGCTGGAACCGTTGATCCCAACACTGGCAGAGTCCTCGTCTGGTCCTCTTGGGCTCGAGATACCATGTCCGGTGGTCCCGGTGGTTTAACTCTCACTTCAACTTGGGACCCAGCAACTGGCCAAGTTGCAGAGCGTCAAGTCACAGAGACAAACCACGACATGTTCTGCCCCGGCATTTCCCTCGACGGAAACGGTCAACTCGTCGTTACGGGCGGTAACAGCGCTGAGCGCACAAGTCTCTTCGACCCCGTCAAACAAGTCTGGGTATCCGGTCCCAACATGCAAGTCGCACGCGGGTATCAATCCTCCGCTACGACCTCCACCGGCAAAGTCTTCACCATCGGAGGATCCTGGAGCGGCGGCGAGTCTTTCAAGAACGGAGAAGTTTACGATCAGAAGAAGAAGACCTGGACACTGCTTAACAAAGCTGATGTTCAAAAGATGCTCACGGATGATGCGCAAGGCTTGTTCCGCTCTGATAACCATGCTTGGCTGTTTGGTTGGAAGAGCGGCACTGTGTTCCAAGCTGGACCGAGTAAGAACATGAATTGGTATTACACTGAGAAGAAGAATGGCGATGTCAAAACGGCGGGGCAGAGAGGTTCTGATCGTGGTGTTGCGCCTGATGCTATGTGTGGTAACGCCATCATGTTTGACGCTGTCAAGGGCAAGATCCTGACTCATGGTGGAACTCCGAATTATCAGGATTCGGATGCTACTACTGATGCTCACATCATCACCGTCGGAAATCCTGGTACGAACGCTTCTGTTTCTTACGCCAGTGAGGGTCTGTTCTTCCCTCGTGTTTTCCACAGCTCTGTTGTTCTTCCCAACGGCAACGTCTTTATCACGGGTGGTCAGCAATACGCCATCCCCTTTGAAGACTCAACGCCCCAGCTTCAACCTGAGATGTACTATCCCGAAAAAGATGGGTTTGAGCTCATGAAGCCCAATAACATCGTAAGGACATATCACAGCATCGCTCTCCTCCTCCCCGACGGACGAGTCTTCAACGGCGGCGGCGGTCTCTGCGGCGGCTGTGACACAAACCACTTCGACGCTCAACTCTACACCCCTCCCTATCTATACGACTCAAAGGGCAAGTTAGCCACACGCCCTAAGATAACTTCCGTGTCTGTGTCTACCATCAAGGTTGGAGGAACAGTTACTATTCAAACGGGCGGAGCTATTGTGCAAGCTTCACTGGTGCGGTACGGAACGGCAACGCATACTGTTAACAGTGACCAACGGCGTGTTCCCCTGGTGTTGACTAACGCAGGAAAGAATTCGTATTCGTTTCAGGTACCTAGTGATCCTGGTGTTGCGCTGCCAGGATATTGGATGTTGTTTGTCATGGATAAGAATGGCGTGCCGAGTGTGGCTTCTACGATCAAGGTCACTGGTTCATAGGCGTTTAGCATCATAGATTCGTTTGATTAATTTTAACATAAAGTTCTATCATCTTTTCTCTTACCTCCTCGTCAATCATAATTCTCTTGCTGAAGCCAGAGTCGGAGCTAGATTTAAAAGGATTAGAGGTCGATTATTCAACTAGAATCCTGCGCGATCTTAACATCATTTTCTTCGGCAAAGAACACCCTCAGAAATCCGACAAGAACGGTGTTCGGATAGAGATGCTTGTATCTGAACATCACCTCGATCTTGCTGCCGACCTTGGCAATAATTACTCAAGAGGTGCCCGCCCATCGATCCTAGAAACATCTGACCATGGCTGGGACGCGATAGCGCTGTCCACACTCCTCAACATCATTCACAGCCGTCATGATAAGGTACCCCGAAGCATAGATCTCGAGCTCTTCGCCAAGATCGCCGTCATAACGGATTACTTCGAATGTGCCGACGCGCTGGCTATGGCAGCCGAAATTTGGCGCTCCAAGATTTACGATTACGAGACCGTTGATAAGTTGGATAGCACCTGTCTGATGTGGTTTTATATCTCCTGGGTATTCTCTTGGCCAGAAATGTTCAAGTCGACAAAACAACTGGTCGTCATGAACTATCAAGGCCCGGAGAACTTTGAGCTGAATGGCCTCCCTCCACAAGGATTCCTCGGTAAATTAACCTCCCATTTATGTGTGTGATAGCCCCCCTGACATACAGTCCAGAAAAGTTGGACGAATTGAGACCAGAAAAGATCGAAAAGATTCTCTCAAAACTGGATGGGTTCAGAGATCAGCTACTGGTTGAAGAGGGCTGTCCTAAAGCGGAAAACGTTCAGTGCAGCATGATGACACTTGGGTACGTGAGGAAACTGAAAGACCGACTCGGAAAGCTGGATCCTCCCTTTGTCAGTCCTTTTACAGGCTACAGCATCGGAGATCTCTGTAATATGATCGAGACTTTTCCTTGCAAGGCAATTGTCCACATTTCAAATCGTCAGTGCTATTCCATTCGGCCGGCGAGACTACCCCCAAACCCATGCACTGTCAGGGCAAGAATGTACAAACGCATTCAACCCATCAGGATGGAGATCGACACTGTCGGTTTTAATGATTTCGATTCTAGGAGTGGTCCAGGAGAGATATGAGATAATAGTGGGGATGATGCTTCTTTGTTGCAATTACCTTACCTATTGTGCTTTTTGTACTTTGTGGACTGGATTACAGTGCTATTCGTCGTTGCCTGACGATGTGTGCAGGAGGGTCAGGCTGTGAGATATGTGAAGCAAATCCAAAGATTTATTTATACGGAGAAAAACGAACCTTGGGCTGTAAAAATAGATTTTGATCTTGATTAATGTTCATTTATTCAATAGTGCACGGTGTTTAACTTGTTTGGGTGATTCTGGGTGAGTATGTTGGCAAATCTCATATATATCAACCGTACAGGAACGTACACGTACACTTGCGTACGGCTGCGTACGTGATGATAGCATCACATTTGGTCCAAGCCCGAAGCAAAGCAGATCACCCCGACAGTACCAGCACCCGAACCAATTCCACAACCAAGAACAGAACCGTCCGTGACGGGTGAAGAGGACTACGATGAGGAGGAAGATGATTTCACGATCAAGATGAGAACCTTGGACAGCTTGTTCTACGGGACAACTGATCCCCAGGAGGAAGATAAAGAAGTCGAGATTCGAATGCGCGTGTCCAGCTACCATCTGTCTCTTGCATCTCCAGTCCTCTCTTCACAGCTGGAAGTGTCTCGTTCACAGCCGACAACGCGCGCTCGTCGACCAGCCAACGACATATACCTCACGGGATGGGATGCAAAGGCTTTGGCCACCGTATTAAACATCATTCACGGTAAAAACTTTCAAGTACCTCGAACTGTTGATTTCGACTTTTTTTACACACGTTGCCGCTATCGTCCATCACTTCCAATGTGTCGAAGCAGCACAACTCTTGTCCGAGTTATGGCTCGCAAGTTTCGAAAAAGATGAAATACCTTGTTTTAAAAGCACTTGCCTGATGTGGCTGTTTGACTCTTGGGTATTTTCCTGGGAAAAGGAGTTCTCGCATTGCGCACAATTGGTCCTCTCAGAATACCAAGGCCCTAATACGGTTACCTTGCACGATCTTCCCCTGACTGAAGTGCTTGGTCGGTATTCCCACCAAACGTACATCTACGCTAAGCTAACCATTGTTAGATAAAATTGACGGTATGAGAATCATCTTGGTAAAGAAAGTATTCGCGGCTCTCGAAAATCTAGAGCAGACCCTCTCCGCCAAACATAGTTGTCCAGAACTGGGTTGGAACAATGTGCTGCTATGGCACTCGGTGCGTTGATGCGAGGAAAACGCAAGTTTCGAGACATGAAGGAACCTTATCACGGACTCAGTATACCGCAAGTACTGGCATCACTGAAGGAGTTTCCTCACATGGCAGTTGTCTTTCCCAGCGAGAATCATGGTCAGAACTGTACTGTATATGCGAGGTTGAGGCCGGTCATCGACAGAGTGGAGGAGGAGGTCAAGGATATCGATCTGAGCTATTTTAAGTCCTAGTAATATTCATATTGCTTGAGTCCGGTAGTTGTCCATGTTGGAGATTTGTGTAGAGAGGTTGTGTCTTGTTGCTCTTGATCTCTCTGTTGCTCTCCAGATGAAGTGTCACTAATCTTGGGGACAGCAATTTACCATTTAACATCGTCAATAAAAGTCCATCTTTTCCTGGCGAGACCCATTTGAGGTGCAGGTTCCTGCTCGTGCTTCAGTGGCGCACCTGTTTTGACAGTGTCTGGCAGATGCAGGCTTCCACCCCTACACTTGACACTCTCTCTTACCGAGCCGTCTAGCCTTTGGAAATGTTTTCTCAGCTCTTCTTTCTACTTACCTCTTCCTTCTTCTCCTCCATGCAGCAGCCTTTCCTTCATCGCGGGCTTCCTTCCACTCAGCAACACCACAGCATCATGGCCGTCTTTACTCACGACATCGTCCCCGATGGAGATCTTTATATTGTCCTGGAGGATGCCAACACGCTACGTACTATTCCAAGCGTCTCTCTCCGCTACTTAAACATTAATCTTCCTGAGTACAAGCTTGATCCTTCCGTTGTGAACCTCCCAGAGACATCGTCTGGGCTTGAGCTCCCCAAAGTCCAGAGTAAGATCATCCTCACAAATAAGATCAAAAACTAAGATAACTGTTTAGAAAAGGACTTGGAGTATCGATTTAGAGTCTCATCTCATCATTTGACTCTTGCCTCTCCAATGTTCAAAAAGATGCTCGATGGTTCCTGGAAGGAATCAGCACCAACCGGAACGACCCCTACCGAGACGACCCCTATGGATAAGACTCCGACTATTGTCGAAGCTTCTTCGGAGACCCTAGATTCTGTTACTTCACTAAGTCCTGTAGCAGCCTCAACTTCTGAGGCCCCGCAAGTTTCCGCCGTGCGTGAGATCTCAACAACAGGCTGGGATGTACACGCCTTCATCACAGTACTCAGAATCATACATGGTTGCAATCGTCAAGTGCCACAAGCTGTCAGTCTCAGCTTCTTTATCGATGTTGCTGTCATTGTCGACTATTATGAGTGCGCCGACGCTGTGGCTATTGCTGCGAATCTTTGGAAACAGACATTCCTCGGGCCCACCAAACTCCCCATAGGAGGAAAGATGTCGATCATGTGGTTATGGATTACTTGGGTTTTCTCTTGGCCCTCTGACTTCACTTCTGCAGCTTACAGAGAGGTGCGGAATAGCGAGGGCCTAGATCATGTTGATACCCATGATCTCCCCGTTGCTATGCTCCTTGGTATGTAACCTCATATAGACAATACGCCTGCATACTGCTACCAATGACCTTAGAAAAGTTGGAGAAGAAGAGGCAATGGGCCTTGGAGCTTTTCTGTGCCAAACTCGTTACACTGCGAGCGGAACTCCGGGAAGGCCGTGTGGGCTGCAGTCATAAATGCAGGTGTATATTACTCGGTGCAATTGATGCCGCTGAGTACGATATGCACCAGGAGCTTACGACTTCTGGCCCACCATACTCTGAGATCTCTATCGCGCTGAGATCTCTATCGCGCTTATTGATGATGTTTGGGAGGATATTGATTCACCTGATTGTCGGGACCCTTCCGAAAGGAAGCGAGGTCCTCCTCGTCGTTGCGGTCTCCAGAAGCTGATGCTTCCAACCTTCAATGCGATCGCAGGGGAGTTCCACAAGATCAGGATCACTGACTTTCAAGCTAAAAAGGACTGAGATATTACATATTTCGCTGGCAACTGCGGGCGCATGGGTATCTCTGTAGGCTGGACGTGAGGTACACAGAAGGATGAATGGCGATCAGTGGAATGGATAAAACGAAAGCTCAAGTACGAGATCTGCATGTATGAAGAATAGTTTTTATTTTGAGATGCACCAACCTCATCATCGTTCACTGGTGACTTCAGCTGATTGCAAACACCGAGTTGCTTTCCGAGTACCCAGACTTTAAATGGCCCTTCATTTTCTTCTTTCACGAAAATACAACTGTGAGTTCTTAGTCCCGTTTGTCTTCACCTAGCAATACTATAACATCTCCAACATGAGGAGCCAAGAAAATGACAGCCGTTGCCTGCGTAAAGTCCAATTGTGAACATTTATGAGATATTGACGTAGTTTTCGATCTCATACTCGTCATTTCAGTTATCTCTACTGGGAGGTACAGGTTCCTGTTGGCGTTTCAGCGGTCATGTGCATCTATTTTGACAGTGTCTATCAAGTGCTATTTTTTCACTCCTGGGCACGCAACTCCAAAAGAGATCTCCTGGCGCGCTGGTCCTTTCACTCCTACATCCTCTGGGGAATCGAGCGCCTTATCACTCTTTTCTTCTCTTCACACCAGAACCTTTTCTCCCATCGCGGATTTCTCTTCTCTTTCTCAGCTACAAACTCAGCCACAACACCATCATGACAGTCATCACGCACCACATAGCCCCAGATGGGGATCTCTACATCGCTCTGAAAGAGCCAAACACGCAGAAAGTACTGCCAGACGTTTCTCTTGCCAACACCAGTGGAATTTGCCACAGTACATGCCCGACCATGATCGTCTGGATGTTCCGTCTATGAGCTCTCCTCTTCCCGCTTTCAGAATCTCTGGTGAGAGCTTCCATCACTCTAAGAAACATTTAAAACTGACTCGAGGATCCAGATGAAGAACCTGTTGACATCCGACTCCGCGTTTCTTCTGGCTATATGATTCTGGCTTCACCCGTGATCAAGAAGATGCTCCATGGTCCATGGAGCAAAAATGCTGAACCCGTTTCTCCTGAGTCAGATACCACCTCGCCTTCTTCAAGCACGTCAGCTCGCGAAGTTTCTACAATCGGATGGAATGCGGATGCTTTAGTCGCTCTGCTCAACATCATCCATGGCCGCCACAGCAATGTGCCAGAAGAGGTCAACCTCAGCTTCTTTGCCGACTTTGCGGTGATCGCGGACTACTACCAATGTGACAGAGCAGTTCTATTTGCGCCTATTTTGTGGTACGAGCTTCTCTACAAGGCCCCTACGGAATTTGGAAGACAACATATTCTGTGATTATACATCAGCTGGGTATCCTCCTGGCATCGAGCCTTCGCCGATATGGCAATGTTGATCTGGAAGCATGGTGAAGGCCTGGATCTTGTCAAAACATATGATCTCCCTATCGCTGAGATAATTGGTGAGTAGTTTCAGATTTAGAGTAGTTCATATGAAGACACTGCTCACATTATGGATAGAGAATCTAGACACAAAAAGACAAGAGGCTATCAATGCAGTCCTGGAGGAGCTTAACAACATCGTTGAGGAGCTTCAGGATGACCAAACTGACGACACAGCCTGGGATGGTTGGGGTGGTGAGCCCACTGACCACAGACGCCGTTGCACGGCACTGGGTTCAGCGCTACGAGAGAAACGCCGAATGGACAAACTCGATCCGCCGCTCACAGTTCCATACATTGGATATTCTTTCTCGAAAGTCATCAAAATGGTCAACGGGTTTCGTAAACTTGATAATCGTGTCGAATATGTGACGGAGGACGGAATTGAGCAATGGCAAGTACCAACGGAACAGGAAGACCGTCCCAAACAGCGACTGAAGAACAAAGTTGACATCACCTTGAGTGATATCGAATGGCTCAGCCTGGCAAACTTCAGAGATTGAGAAGATGGGAAAGAAAAATTCCATACTTCACTATGGATATATCAGCATTGATGTTTTTTTTTGGTCGAATGATGGCGATGGCCATCCAAATGGATGGTAAAATAGTTATGCTTTGAGAGTTGCCAGTGGCCATACTCAGCCTGTACAATATTAGCTTAAACTTCAAAGGGACACATGCCTCAAATTGCTATAATATTTGATTTTGACAACTTTGGCTCCTTGATACGCTTACCTGTGTCAGCCTGTGAGAGGTCTGAGTTGTCAGTGACAGGCAGCGGACAACCCAGGAGGCACCAGATCCAGATCCAGATCCAGATCCAGATCCAGATCCAGTGCGTAGAATTTTAAAGACTTCCGCGCATTCTGGGTTCATTTCTTCTTCTTCACCCCTCCACCTCCTCCGGAACTGGGAGGCGTAGTACATCTCACCCAAACATCATCATGAAGTCTATCTCGTACGTGATAGACCCAGATGGGGACATCGAGCTCGTGCTTAACGAGCCAAATGCACAAGATATTATTCCAGAAAGAGTCCTATGTGGAGATGGAGATTCCACTAGCACATCACCCACCACGGACTTCAACAACTCAGTACTCCACGGACGATACACGGTCTTTGATAACTTCGACACCCCTACATTTGTGGACGACTATGGCGATTTGGACTTTGTGGAAGAAACTCCCGACGTAGTGCGAATGCGAGTTTCCTCAAAGCACCTGACATTTGCTTCTAAAACGTTCAGCGCTATGCTTCAAGGCCCATGGGCTGAGGCCTCCTCCTCATTTTCTTCCCAGCGTAGCCCCCGCCAGGTTGCGACCTCTGACTGGGATGCCAAAGCTCTTGCCATTGTCCTTGATGCGATTCATGGCCGTTTTCGAAAGATCCCTAGGCACATCAACCTCGTGCTCCTAGCTCGCATTGCCACCATCGTCGACTACTACCAATGCTATGAGAGCTTGGAATTGATCAGCGGCGTGTGGCTTTGTCAACAGTCTGTTACACAAGAAAATTTCGATTTGTACTCCGAAAATTCATTACTGCGGCTGTATGTCGCATGGGTCTTTGAGAACGAGGCTATCTTCACCGTCGAGGCCCGCAGGGTCTTGAGGCACAGCAGGGGACTTTCAGAGTTCGAGCTGAAAGAACTTCCCGTTGGAGGGATTCTCGGTAAGTACATGCTCAGGCGGATCAAAGCTTGATATACTGACGCTGTATCAGATGTCCTGGAGGACAAAAGAAAAGAGCTTATCGGAAGGGTCTTGGAAGGTCTCGATATCCTGCGAGAAACACTCCGCACGGAGGATGCATGCCCCGGGCTGGGCTTATCCGACTGTTCCTCTGCATTGCTTAGGACGTTAATGCGAGAGAGATTTAGATGGGAGGATGAATATGCGCCCCTCACGGCCCCTTACGACGGATACAGCGTTGTCACGATGCGAGGCTTGGTGGAAGGGTTTCCTCGACCCAAACCTTTACATCCGAGCTACGATAACTCTGGACGCATCAGCTCTGGCGAACCCAACTTATATCATCAGCATTGTACGTGCACCATTCAGGGGCGGATACAGAAATTGATGAAGGGGATCAACAACGACATCAAGGGGTTCCGCCCTTCGCGCATTCAAGGCTGGGGGTTGCGTCAGAAGGATGATGACTAGTTAAGACTTGGCAGTTTGTATGAGATTGAATTGTTTGCGAATATCGAAGATTGAAAGAGGTTGAGTTGAATGGTGCCAGAATCTAGGGATTGGAGTCAGAATTGCTAGCTTTCCTCTACGTATTAATCACGTAACTCCTTCACTCTCATTTCTCTTGCCCAGATCTCTGCTTTAGGCTTAGTGATCTTGGTCTGCCTTTAGACCTCTTCTTCCTGAATCAAGGCTGGATTTAGAAAATCTCATGAAAACCTTTACCCCTGGTTCCCAGAATGCATCGTAAGCTTATGATATTTGTCTAAAGCCACAAACTGCAATTGACCGACCATATCTTTTGTATCATTTATTTGTTCGTATTTCGATCCTTATTGTGGATTCTTCAAACTGTTTGCCAGCGTATGTTGACTCTGTTTGCTTTTAGTGGCGGACAGATGCATATCATCACGGACCACAGCAGCCGCTCTGCCTTGCACACCTTGCTTTAGCTACGTGCTTGACAAGAGCTCCTCTTCTCCCCCTCGACTTTTTCTCTTATTTCTTCATCCCAACACCAACACTGGAATACAGAAGCAGAAGCCATCCATCATGAAGTCCATCTCGTACATTATTGACCCGGATGGCGATGTCGAGCTTGTTCTCGAAAACCCAAACTCTCAGCCACTTGTCCCCCGTATTCTCCCCTACGAAGGCGGTCAGGATCACGAGAATGACGAGAATTACGAGGATGGCGAAGATGCCGAAGGTGACAAGAACTTGGTCTCCTATAGCTTCCCCTTCGAAGTCTACCAGGAAGACGAGGATGATGATGATGGCGAGGTTGGGGAGGGTGAAGAGAATGACAAGAATGAAGAGGATGATGAGGATTCCATGAACGAACCAACAGTCGCCCGTCCCACGCTGAGTGAAAGATATTTCGTATTCGATAATCTTCTTTCTCCTGTTGAAGCTAAAGGAGACCTCTATCCTGAGATTGAAAGAGTCTCTATCGAGACAAAGGTCGCTCTCGAGGCCAAGGCCCCCCTAAGGCTGAAGTCCGGATGAGAGTTTCTTCAAGACACCTCATTCTGGCCTCTCGCAATTTTCGCTCCATGATCGAGGGGCCCTGGAGCGAGGCGTCGTCCACTTCTTCTACCTTCGGAAAGCCTCTTCGTCAAATCACCACCTGTGATTGGGATGCTGTGGCATTTGCTATCGTTCTTGATATTATCCACGGCCGTCATCGAGATGTGCCTCGAGCTGTCAATCTTCGATTGATGACTCGAATCGCTACCATAGTCGATTACTATGAATGCCAAGAGGTCGTGCAGATTTTTGCTGATGCTTGGTATGAGGACATCTGTACCGGAATTGAGGACGAGTACTCCGGTAACACTCTGATGTGGCTATGTGTTTCTTGGGTCTTCCCTAATCCAGACATTTTGGACTCAGCGACGCAGATTATCCTCAAGCACATGTACGGCCGTTCACAACTCAGTACGAAGCATCTTCCCATCCCTGGAGTTCTGAGTTAGTAACCATTTCCCCCTTGCACCTTTGGATCAAACCCATTAACAAGAGAACAGAAAGAATTGACAGCAAACGACAAGAGCTCATCGGCAAGATCGTGGCAGCTCTTCACGACCTTCTCGACACTCTTCCCACCTCAGACTTTCTCTGCGACTGGCACAAGTATGAGTCCCCGACTTGCTCCTCCATCGCGCTGAGCATTTTGGTGCGGGAGTTGCAAAGTCTCGAAGAAGGGGGCCGCCCGCTTGTGCCCCCTTTTGACGGTTACAGCGTTAATAGCACGATTCAATTGGTCAATGACATGCCTGAGTCGATTGCAGCTACGACCGAAGAGTATGACCACTATAACGATGTGTCTGCGTGCAGTGTCAGGGCTAGAATGAGGCATGTTCTTGGAGGTGTCAAGGCTGAGCTGAATTCTTGGACTCTTGATTTGGATAAGAAGGTTTGAGATGGTTGGGTAACGGGATGCAATGGGATTGATCGGTGTTTTTGGTTAGAAACCAAGCAAGAAGGATATTTCTGCCCTGTTCTTGATGTCTTGATCTTCACTCTTGGTCACTTTACCTGCTTTTCCACGGCGCTTAGACTTAGATTCTGGAAATGTTACCAGCGACTCATCGTGCACTTCGCCTGATATTTGTGATAAGAGCGGTGTTCTTATTGTGAAAGCAGTGCTATAGGACATGGTATGGTTTCCCATAAGCTTTAAGTTATTGGATTTGAGTTCCGTCTATCATCCTGGCCTTAAACAGGAGTAATAAGCATATTTTGCGACGAGTTTGGCTTTCTTGGCATCAGCTCAATATCGCTACCTTGGCCGATCTCGTCTGAAATGCACTTATTGATCGAGACTGTCTTTGAGGATGCGGTCATCATGTGAGCAACCAGAGTAGAATGATAAGAAATAAAGGGGAGAGGGAGGATTATGTCGAGCTCGTGCTACTCAGAAATGTAGACATGATCCATGAATGATGTGATGTGCATGGGCCCGTCACTGACAGAGGAAACAATTATCTTCTTACTGAGTCAATGATTGGTAGTGCCTGCCAAGCCAGCCATGAGGTACTTTGTTTGACAGCGGCGCAACGTATAACTTAGCTAAGCACAGCCCAGTCAAACCAAATACTTGGAATCATATTCATCTCTTCCTTTCAACAGCCATATTCAAGAACAGAACAACAGACTTCTCGCTACACCATACCAGATCACGAATACCAGTATGAAGTCGATATGCTACGAAGTAGATTCAGGTGGCGACACCGAACTGATACTAAAAAATCCAAACAAGCAGAACATCGTGCCAGATTGTCCTGATCGTACTCCTGAGGGGGATCCCAATGCTCTGGCATTCGCCAACCCGCCATGCCTTGGTCGATATCAAGTCTTGAGCGAGCTCTATTCCGATGATCAGAACGAGACTCCGGAAGTCGAAGTTCGCATACGAGTTTCTTCCCGACATTTGATCTTCGCCTCTCGATACTTCCGATGTATGTTAAATGGGTCTTGGAGAGAGGCAACCTCATCGTCTGAACCTATTCGGCAAATATCAGCCGAGGGCTAGGATGCCTTTGCTTTCGCCATAGTCCTGGATAGTGTTCACGGTCGTCACGTCGGGATCCCAACAGACATGAATGCTGGACTCCTGACTCGAATTGCAAGCATTGTTGACTACTACCAATGTCGCGGGCCCATGCATTTTGTTTATCAAGCGTGGACCTTTAGTAGACATCTACCTAATGAGCTATGCAAGAGGAACTTGATGTATTTGTTTTCCGCCTGGGTATTCCACGATGAGGAAAGATTCCGCTCACTGGCAGCTTCGTTTCTGAATCGCAGCACTGGGATGTCCGAAATCGAGACCCATGACCTTCCTGTCGGCGAGATGCTCAGTAAGTTCCCCCTCGACTCGAATATATTATGGCTGATCTGACGGTACCTTGGCAGCCAGGCTCGAACGTAGAAGACAATTCCTACTCAATGATATCTTGGAAGCCATGGACTCTCTCCAGGAAGAAATGGTGCAAGAAAACGGCTGCCAACATGAGAGCACTGACTGCAGCGAGATCAGCCTCGGTATATTGATGCGAGAAAGGCATCGAATTGATCCACCTTTCGTTGCTCCCTTTAATGGGTACAGTCTAGACAAGATAGTAGGAAAGATCATGGGCTTCAAGATCCCAATGTCGCCGCACTGTGCCATCAATGAAGAACCCTATGTCTTCCACGCACGCGGCAATTATCACCCCTGTACCACTCTGGGAAGATTGAAGCCAATCCTGATGGAGATAAAACAAGCGGTCGAGGGCGTTAATGTGGCTGATTTCGTATCTCGAGATGCTAGCGACTAGCACTTGAGTTGTGGTTGATTACCCTCGAAGGCATTCGTCATTGCCTATGGAAGGGTATGAAATGGCAGGCAAACACAGAAAAACGGTGATTGACAAAGAGACACAAGTCAACTCTGAAGCTTCCGGTTGCTTAGATAAAATTATGTATTATTCATGAAAACTGTTCATCTTTCAACTGCAACCATGATCTCCTAACTCAGCCATTCAGCCAACCATGCAGGATTTCTACCCAGGGGTGCAACCCCAGATTGAAGACCACATCCAAACTTCAACACTTCCTACCCAAGACACACTTCAACTCAACGGTAGGTATCTCGCTGTCCAGCCTCAGCCTCTATCTGAGCCTTACGCGCAGCATTGAGAGCCTTGAGCTTGGCAGTTCCGAAGCCCAAAACACCATCCTCCTGATTATCACCCAACCAAGGCTTCTTAGAATCACTGAGCATGCTACCAGTAACAAAGTACACGAGCTGACCAATGATGATAAGAACAAAGGCAATGGGGTACAGGAAGTGAATGGTGTAGCCAAAGACGCGGATACCAATGATGACACCCCAGAAGTTGGCAGTCAACAAAGAGATATTAAGGAAAGCTGCACTTCCCATGCGGAGCATGACGGGTACAAGGATGTAGAAGATGTTCAGGCACAGAGTGTAACCGATGATCCAGCCGATAACCTTACCGTTCCAGGTTGCATTATCGAAAGAGTTTCGGTCAAAGATGGCAGCCTGGACGCCGTTGATGCACATACCAAACAGGCCCAGGAATGACAGGACGTGGTACAAGTGAGCCCTGGACACGAGCCACTCCTCGAAGACATTGGTAGTACCGTAGAGGGTGGCACCGAGCAGAGCGAACAGATCACCTTTGACCATATCAATACCGTTACCGCCATTGGTACCGCTGATGTGATCACTGGCAATGAGAATACCCATACCACCACAGCAGACCACAATACCAATGATCTGAAAGATTCTGTACCGAACCTTGAGGAGGAAGAACGAAATGACAACAACGCAGACAATAGCCCAAAAGTTAATGAGCTGCGCTGACAAAACATTCGTGTATCGGTAAGCCAAAACAGTAAAGTAGTTTCCCTCAACGTCCAAAAACGCCATGATGAGGTACTTCCACCCATCCTTCACCCCAACGCGCCACCAGCCTTTGATGCCATCCTTCCACAAAAAGATAGGCGTGTAGATGAGGAACATGAGGATGTAGTTAAACACGGTCTGGAACGCGGGAATGTTGGTGCCCGCGTTGGCGAGGAAGCTGGTGAAGGTGTTGGTGGCGGTGATGCAGAGCGCGAGAACTTGGCCGAGCGCGAGGACGATCCAGAAGTCGACAGTGGTCAGGTAGCTGTACCAGTGGACAGACTTGACTTCGAGGGTGTGGATGCCCTGGCTGACAGCGGCATCTTCGTTCGTGACGATGGAGTCCTGGGTAGCGTTGGCGGTTGGTCCCTTAGAGTCGCCCTCAAAAGGGTTCTCGGGGTTGTTGACGGCGATGGGTTGGGTAGCCGACATGATGGAAGGTTTATTCGAGGTGTATTGTAAGAATATCTATCTTCAGTTAGCGATCGCATTCTCAATTGCTGGTAGCGCACTCAATTGCACTGCTGTCGCAACATACCTCGTAAACCTATCGCAAAGTAATGAATCGCTGGATAATCCAGTAAAAATAGATCAAGTCTTTCTATCGTCTCCGGGTGCAGCAAGCGCAAAGACTCAAAGTCGCTCGCTGATGTTCTTAAGAACTGACGCGGCACATGTACCAATGTGCCGGTGTGTATTTGTTGAAGGAAGCCGAGTTAACAGAGGTCAACATATGAAGTCGCAAGAGATATCGTGGGGGGGGTATTTGAGTGCGCAAGATGTCTTGCTCTGGAGGCGAGTTGTTGATCGACACGGAGACACCGTTAAACAGCGCTGATCTTGCAAGAGTAGCGAAACAGATCAAGAAGAAGGGAAGCTAGAAAGACTCGAGAGGTCCAGGTCTTTTTATTCTTCGATCATCTGCAATTTTTTCCTTCTTTTTTTCACTAAACCGAGTTCTAGCTCTCTTAATTGGACCAGCTTGTCACCGAGATCCATGATTTATCGGGAGCCAAGAACACCCGCTAAACTTGGTCGGGTCAAACGTCCTCGATTGAGTCCCAGTGGCGTCTTGTTCAGTGGGGAGGGCGGCGGCTGCCGGGGGTCAAAGCTCCTTTTGCAGGGGATGTTACAGTGCTTACAGAAGGGTGCAGCAGACAGACATGAACATGTGAAGACTCATACATTGACTCAAGAAGAGGTTAAGGATTAGAACCTCGAAGTAAAGATTATACTAACAAGAGTGACAGAGATCAGTGATCTATGTTAACTGGGAATCAATGTATTGTGGCGTTACAGAGCTGACCTGAAGGAGGGTCTCCAAAGGGCTAGGCTTGTCCTTGTGGTAGGGGGACGGGAATGAGATGAGGTGAGGATGGTGGGTAACCACGTGGGGGTAGGCAAGACAAATTGGCCGAAACTATTTCATTGACTCGCTATCGAATCATTTCTTTTGTCTTGGTCATACTCGAACTAATAATTATAACCATATTCCCTTTCCATTGACATTTGACAGTGAAATCAGTACTCAGGGTTCACTCAATATGCAGTCCATTAAAGTTATGCGGAACGAGCCGCTTGGTGTTATCCGTGCGCGCTGTAAAGCGGCAGAGCTGAAATTCCCCGATCAATGAGCAATTGCTGAGAGAATCCAGATCATCCTGTCAAGACTTTTGTATGCACAACTAGCATAAGTCTGTGCGCTCGTAGAATAGTCCAAGAGTCGCAGAGATGTAACCAGCTCGTCTTAGTCCCGTTGGTGGTTCACGGCTTAGAACAGGCATCAGACATGGCGGCCCGTACTGTTTTTGCTATCCAGACATTGGTTCTTGTTGTGCTGTCTTCCGTTGCGCTTCTCTCTAACATTGGTCAGCTATATCATTCTTATAACCCCTGGCTTAACACCAACATACTAGATATGAGTGGCAGTTGAGAGGTCGTCGAAGGTATTGTGTTTGGTGCCAGTGGTTCACGCTCTGGCAAAGCTGCTATCTCTCGAAGTAGGAGATTAAAACAGTCCTTTTCTGAGTTTATGTTCAGCTGTCGCGATATGTTGGTTGCATTCAGTTTTCCTGAGCGGTTGTCAGCAAGTCCAGCTTCAGCTGAAGGCATTAACTATAGCGCAATGAACAGCATTACCAGAATTTGTCGTTGATGGAGACCCCGATGGATCACGATTCGACATCCTGGAGCCAAGGCTTTTGCCGCCCTCAAAGGCTATGGGGGGAAAAAATGAAGGAATCCTGATGATGCATCTGCGTTGACTCGGGCGGGATACGCAGATGCTCCGATGTCCGATATGCTGACAGGCTTGTCTCCAGGTGATTGACTGGGCAAAAAGAGTCCCCGGGTCACGATTCTCTGTGCATCGAAGTTTGGTAAATTATAGAGTACAACAACACGTCCTTTATATGGGAAAATTCAGGTTATACTGAGACCCCGGCTCAAGTCGCTAATTTATACCGGGAACCTGGAGGCACAGCGGCCGGTGGTGGGGCCTCCGGCGCATCTCGTATTTCGTACCGACGAATAAAGATCCACTGTAAGAAACATCTGGCCTATCGTGTGCTGTAGTGTTAAATGGAAGCTTGGCTTCGCGCCATCATGCCAGATTCGGGAAGTATTTAGCTTTGAGCCGTCGATAAGGATGTGCGAAATACGGCCAGATCTTCTGGTGTAAGTGAACCAACAAGCTGAGGATGAGCCTTGTCTGAGGAGAAATCGTTACTTATAGCCTGATTCAGACAAGAGTTATTGTTGCTGAAGAAGTTGTCTACAGTTGCACGACTGTACGGGGAAGGGGTCCAGTAAGGGGTACGTATGATAGATAGATAGCCCATAGGTCTATAAATGGTTGGTCTGTGTTGAAGCCATCACCCATACTTCCCAACTTGCTTAGATTCAGATCTCTCGGAATCTTTCATTGCTACTAACTCAAATGGATGAAGTCAAGAAGAAGCACTCAAACAGAATCCTCAGGCATTTCCCTCATGACACCAGCTGAAACTTGTGTCACGGGTTGAAGCCTCAGCATAACATAATGGAATGCGCGTCCTCGTGGCCCAGGCAGCGGACCCGCTGATGTGCGCTATCGACTGGACGTGACCCCTTGTGGGGAGGCCTTCAACGCTTCCCATTCGCTGATAAGCTTCCATGCCAACGGTATCAACCAATCATGGCACTCGAAGCCTTGGTGTCCCTCAGGGTCCCCTCCAACGTCATTCTGTACCTTATCATGCCTCGTCCATTCGAGCCGAACTCGGCCGCTTCTTTCTTCTTCCTCATCCATCAAAACAAGGCGGTTTCATCCTCTTGTTCAACCCTTATCACTCTCTGTCTTACTAAATAACACCACTATGATTCTCAGGAGTAAGACACTTGCCGCTGGTCCAGCGCTGGTCGCTATAGCTTATGCGTCGCAACCTGGAGCTATCGCGCCTATCCCGGGTCCCATGAGAGACCTCACTTGGGGTCAGATCAACTTTATTCACACAACTGATACTCATGGCTGGATTGGCGGTCACTTTCAGGAGTGTGTACTACCCAATCTCTTTCTCAGGGTACAACTAACATCTCAGGCCCCAATACTCTGCCGACTGGGGAGATTACATCTCTTTCACCAAACATATGCGCAAGCAAGCCGATGAACAAGGGAGCGACCTTCTAGTCATCGATACCGGCGATCGCATCGAAGGCAATGGCTTGTACGATGCATCAACCCCCAAGGGCCTTTTCCAGTACGATATCTACGCCGAAGCCGACGTCGACATCCTCTGCACCGGCAATCACGAACTTTACAAGGCCTACTCGGCTGATATGGAACACAACACCACTGTTCCCAACTACAAGGGGAAATACCTTGCTTCCAACCTCGACTACATCGATTTCAAGACAGGCGATCGTGTTCCCCAAGCTCCGCGCTACAAGAAGTTCAAGACAAAGAACCAGGGTCTCGAAATTGTTGCTTTTGGCTTCCTTTTCGACTTTACAGGAAATGCCAATAACACCGTTGTTCAGCCTGTGGAAGATACCATCAAGGAGGATTGGTTCCAAGAGGCTATTCGAGAGAAGCCGGATCTCTTTGTTGTCATTGGTCATGTCGGTCTTCGCATGGAGGAGTTCAAGACCATCTATACCGCCATTCGAAAACAGAACTGGCATATCCCCATTGCCTTCTTCGGCGGTCACGCACACGTTCGTGATGCTGTCCAGTATGACTCAAAGGCTTTCGCGATAGCCAGTGGTAGATACTTTGAGACAATCGGATGGATGTCAATCGATGGGATCAGCAAGGGCAGTACCATGGAGGTCGAGGCCGCTGCTTCTCCCACCTTTACTCGACGATACATTGACAACAACCTCTACGGACTGCAGTACCATACCGGCCTGAATGACTCGACTTTCCCCACTGCAGATGGCAAGAGAGTCACTCAAATGATCACTCGTGCTCGCAAGGCACTTCAGCTTGATTACAAGTTTGGGTGTGCGCCAAAGACACTTTGGATGACGCGAACCAAGCACACCGATGAGGATAGCATTTATTATTGGATCTCCAACCAGCTTTTGCCTGATATCATCACTCGTAAGGATCGCAAGGACAAGCCTCGGCTAGCCATCTTCAACACTGGTGGTATTCGATTCGATATCTTCAAGGGCGGTTTCACGCGGGATAGCACATATGCTGTGAGCCCCTTTACCAGTGGTTTCAGCTACATTCCGGGCGTTCCGTACAAGGCTGCTTCCAAAGTTATCGACCTCTTGAACAGCGCCGGAAGGATCTTTGCAGAGAACGGTGCGGATGTCAAATACATGGCTATGCCTGAACAGGCATTCCCGGCTCCAGCCATGAAGGCTATGTTTGAGGCTAATAAGGAGGATGAGGACGAGAAGCGTCTTGAGCTCAGGAGTTTCCTTGACAAGCCTGACCTGACCTCCGGATATACTACCAAAGATGACATTGGTACTGATGGCGATGATACCGTCCACGAGCCTGTCAAGTTCTATGAACAGCCCAATTGTGTCCAGGCTGAGATCAATATGCCTGAGAAGGGTGATCCTGAGACTGTTGACTTTGTCTTCCTTGACTTCATTCAGCCTTGGATCATCCCTGCCCTGAAGTTTGCTGGCGCGGGTGATTACAGTGATGCCGATGTTCAGCGATACATTGATGGTACTTTTACCTACCATATGGCGCAGTGGATTAGCAAGAACTGGCAGGGAGACTGCTAGTTGTTTGCGTATGTAGATGGAACTGGGATGCCCCATGGAGTTATTGACATTTGGGATAGCATGGTTAGAGTATATTGGTCATCATTAGTATTAGATTGAATATAGTCATATACACCACCCTCTCGTTCCAACCCCAATTGTATCAGGGGGAGGCAAGAAAACTTAGGGTCTCTTGTCTAAATAATAAAAATACTTAGGTAAACTTAATATAGACTTGATAGACCCTTAGACTACTTATTTTTGGCACTTAACTTAAAGGTTAGAAGTTTTCTTGCTTCCTGAGGCATATGAGACCACTGTTATGGATATTATCGGTGTGGCATCAGTCAGATAAAGATAATTCAGGTCATATCAAGTAACAGTGGCGTTCCGAATAAAGGTAAAAGGCAATGCGGTAGATTGAAGATGCATGCTAAGTGCCTATATATGTATGTATACCCAACCAGCTATGTGCCATCTCTAATGTGAATGTTCTAAGGAAAGGACCTCATGCAAGGCATGAAAACAAGAAATGACCAAATGCACAAATTCAATCCCAATCCAAACCAATCTCAAGGCTCCATGTCGTAATGTCAGACCAGGATAGAAGGTATTGTCAAGAGTCTCAAGAACCAGTGACTCCCATGGCTATCATGTCATAGTCCAAAAGACCACTTAAGCCTGGGGGAACTTGAATCCAGGGGGGACACAGTAGGGGCTAGCGCTCTTCGCGTAGAAGACACAAGAGGTCTTGGGGGGACAAACACCGGCAGCCTTATAAGTCAGTAACTTATATCTCACGAGAAAGAGGAGGGGTGATGACTTACAACCCACTTGCTGTTGACACCGCAGACCTGCCAGCCAGTCTTGTCAGGGGTGCAAGAGTAGGTTCCAGGCTTGCAGCCGCTGGTGGAAGCGTTGAGGGGAGTAGCAGCAGCCAGGGAGGCGAGAGCGGCGAGGGCGATGGCGAACTTCATGTTTGCGGTTTGTTTTCTTGAAAGAAGAAAGATGTAGTAGAGCGAGAGTGGTTTTTGTAGCGAGAGTAGAAAAGTGTTTGAGTTGATGAGGGTGGAGAGAAAGTTTGGGATCTGGAGGTTAGGAAGGGGAGTTTATATACTTGATTTTCTCGTTTATGTAGCTTCGTCTCTTGAGCATGATGTTTCTATTCTTGCCTCACAGATTTGACTTGACTTACATGAGCTGACGGTGGAGGCCATGCCCGCCCTCAGTCCTAGATTCATGCTATTTTGGTGCTGTTTTCCCCGTGGAGAGACAGGAGATCGTCTTGGTGTCTTGATATACGAGGCTTACTCCAGAATGTGCCGATGTACAAGGTAGTCAGTGTCTCTTGACTTCCATTATTCTAGCTCGCTCGTACTAGACGAGAATAGTTTCTGTCAAATGGCAACGTTAACTTGTCGATGGAGCTAGGCCAGGAGTGACATATCGGACTCGCTTCTGGACAAGCCACTTACACAACATCACTAGATAGTCACACGATCTGAGCTGCCAGCCCTGCAGATGTAGTGTTACAGATATTTTTCACAATGATACAGTGTCAAAACCAACATTAATTCTACCTCTGTGCATTATCGACAGCAGGATATAATATAGTGTAGAGTTCATGATATGATACTGCAATACTCTGACAATACAATATCATGAACTGACATAATGCAACACCAAAACAGTCAATATCCAGCTCTCACCCAACCAGAATCACTCTCCTAAAAATAAATCCAGAAGCAACCTCCATCATGTTACCCCGCAAAAAGCAAAAGCCCATCCGCTCACTGCTTATTCGTCCCCGAAAGCCTCTCTCGTGTTTCCCGAGGGTCCGGAGGAATTAATTACGTCCATTACCGTTTGCCCATAAATATGATTGGAAAACAAGAATAGATGTTCGTTGACGTGGTCGCACGTTCAGCCTCGTGATCCTTTGAAGGGGGAGAAATACATGATTCGTTTGGCATAGAGTTGATGAGACTGTCAAGTGCATTGAGTAACCCGTATATGCAAATATTATCCTAATCTCCCCACCGTCAGCTCAAGTCCTAGACTTTGGCGAGAATAATCATGTTGTACGAAGAATATGCAGAGCAAGTATATGTCTAGATGCAGGTAGTGATACGAGGAACAAGCAGGGGAATCCATGTGCTTACGGTTCACCAATCACTGCAAACCACCAACTTTCACGATATACTGAATAACGAGTACTTGCCCGGCTTGTCGGCTCCCGCGTCTCTCTTTCAGTCCCGACGACGCCGTGGCGCCAAGCCGGCGATGCTCCGCCCACCGGCACTCGCGGAGATCCCGGTCTCGGCCGTTTAAGCTGACAGACATAGCACGTGGCTTATCGAATTATAGCATTTCATTTGGATCGTTACATTGTGAGGCTGACACCTTTAGGCTAGCCACCTCCATCTGTCACCGGAAACAACCGCTAAAATCACCGGCACGACGTGTAGCAGTAGATACTTTGTTTCCATTTACAGCTCATAACCAAATATTCTCCTCCCATTGGCCTTGTGTCGACCGGGTCTAGTAATTAGCTCCAGATATGACATGCCCTCTCTTTTTCATCCCCTTCAGCCCTCCCAAGTCCTGTTGATCTGTTTTCTCCTTACCTAGAACTTTGTTAGCCAACATGTCATATATGCGAATGCGAATGTGGGTTTGCTTACCATCGGTGAGAGGAAGAGTACGCCACCCAGCAGCGAAACAACGGTCAAGACAAGTGTCACCTTGTTAAAGCCGTTTCCAAGAATATCAAATACACCGCTGGGTGCGACGCGCGTTCCAAATACATCCACGCCGTAAGCAACAACCAGACTTGTGCTCTCCACAATAACTGGTGTTGTGAGAATGTCCTTGACACCCACCACGTTTCGCTGGTGGGAGATGATCGACCGAGGGTCAATCTCGATGCTGGGGGTGTATTGGATGAGACCTTCGGCTTCCTTCTCAGCTGGGGTTGAGTCACGGCCAACAGGGCGTCGGGCGTCCAGAACCTGGCGAGCCAGACCAGCGATGGAGTGGGCTTCAGGCAGGTAGCCAAGGACTTGTCGGTTTGAAATGCCTTGTCGTGTTTGTGTAACCGACAGCTTGTCGAGTGGCTGAGACAAAACATAAGCTTGCTCCTCAACCCAAGGCAGAGCAGGTCCAGTTGGTGTGTCAACAGGCTTGAGAGACGAAAAGTTGACAGCGTCACCAAGAGGGCCACGGTCGTTAGGAGAAGAAGATTCGTAGAGATCAACAATGACAATTTGGTAACCTTGGATAGATCGCTTGGTGCCATCCTCAAGGGTGTATTGGCCAAAGAAAGTGCAGGTGTACCAGTTCTCAGCCATGGCACAAGAGATAGGCTTGGTAGCGTCGACACCAGCATAGGACTGAGCGGCCAGAACCTGACCTGAGACAGTATCGAGCAGCTGAACAGACAGAGATGACTTAGCCTCGTCAATAGCAGCCACAACGATTGTATTAGGGTTCAGGTATTTGTAGCTGACACGACGATCGGCCAGGACACGGCCAATAGAGGCGACAGGGTCGTGAGCAGCATGCTTAGCAATCTCCACGATCTTCTGGCCGGGGAAGAGCTGAAGCTGCCAGACCTCTTGCTCAGTGACCTTGTTGTTCTCCTCAACAAACTTAACACCCTTAAGGGTCTCTCCCTCACCTCGGACAACGATGGTCTCGCTAGGAGTGAAACCGGCGGGGACAGGTCCAATCTCTCCGTTAGCACCAACAGGCAGCAACCACTTGCCTGCAGGGCTGTCGACAACGACGGTGCTGGAAACACGAGGAAGAGATCCCGCGGGCATGACCTCAACAACATCGCCAGTGTCACTCTTGATAGCAACATACTCGCCCTTGGCGCCACGCAGAGTAACAACACCCTCATCCTTAGCATAGATACCCTTGACCTCGAGGGACTCGCCAGGAAGTTGGGGAAGCACAGACTTGGACCAGATGACTTGACCCTTGTGCTCAGTGCTAAGACCATAGACACGACCACGGCGAGTTGCAAGAACAATAAGCTTGTTGAAGCCAAAAGTGTCGCGGTGCAGGCCTTCCTTCTTGGTAGCGGGCTCGCCACCGAAGATACTGGTGATGATTCGCTGAGGGAGAGATGCAAGATAGTCAGGAAGGTATTGAAGGTCGTCGATATGTCGTGTAACACGGTGAATGTAGGCAGAGAGAGGGTTGGTGTGAGCCTCCTCCTCGAGAACCTTGGCGAGGTTCTCAGTACCAGGGATGTCTGCCCAAACAGCAGCGACGGCACCAGTCAGGCCCTCAGGTCGCTTCCAGTCAATCTCGCCGTTACGGACAAGAACCCAGTCATCTGATTTGGTGACAGCAGCAGCTCGGATGGCAAAACCTTCAGTGCCAGGCTTCTTTAGGACCTCAGCAACAGCATGAACGGCCTCAATATCACCAGCAGGTTTAAAGGGCCAGCGGGCCAGAACAGCGTGAGACTCAGATGAGACAACGAGGGTCTCATCCTCAGTAACGCGTGCGAAGTAAACGTTGGCTCCGTCAGAGCTTGTGGAAAAGGCACCAGGGCCAGAAAGGTGAGGAAGCTCGTAGGCCTTGGTGACCTGGCCACTCTTCAAGTCGGTATGATAAACCTCGGCCTTATTTCCGGTCTTCGTTCGGGTGTGAACCAGGAAGTGAGGCTGCGACTGAACGAGGTGAGGCGCGTGAATAGTAACGGCGACAGCGTCAGAAGGCAACTTGAGCTCCTGAGTCGTCTTGCTTCCAAGGACATTGACCTTGAGCTTAGTCAGGGTGCTATCGGCCCACGCGAGAATAGGGGCGGCTGAGTTGCCTCCAACAAACATGACGTCCTTAGGTCCATGGACATCACCCTTAGTGCCAATAGCAAAGTCGTCCAGTCGTCCTCCTGTGAGAGTATCGAGCGCAGTAACCTTGAGGCTGTAGGACGCAGGCGATCCGTGAAGGCTGATAACGTAAATCTTGGAGATGTCGGTCGAGACCTGAAGAGGGATGTTCTTGGCGACCTCGCGGAACTCCCAGATGACACTTCCCACAGTACCGTGTATACGTCGTAGAACCGTAGTGCCGTCCTCATCATACAAAACCAGAACATCTTTTCTCGAGCTCTCAGTAAGCTCCAGAATCTCAAGGTCCTTAACCTCACCCTTAAACTCATTATGCCACACATTACGTCCCGTCAGCGCATCCCAAGCCTGAACTCGCGATCCATACGCCGCAGCAACCCAATGCTCACCCTCAGCAGCGCGCAAGAAACCACCGCCATTGGTGATATCATCCGCGATCTGCTGACGCCAGACAACCTGGCCGTTGCTAGGGTTCACGGCGCCGATGATACCGACGTCGCTGAGCGTGTAAAGGAGGCTCGCCTTATCTTGCTTTCGTGGGCGATGGAAGAAGGTGGTTTCGACTTGGGGGACGCCGAGGAGCGCGTGGTGGAAATCGATTTCGCCGATTTCGTCTTGGAAGACTGCGGCGCCGAGAGCCGAAAGCCCCAGGAGGAGCAATGGTTGGAGTGAGAGCCGCATGTTTGTGGTTGAGGATGTTGTGCGGCTTCACGCTTGGGAGCTTCAGAGCTGCTTGCATCATGACGGCTAGCTTATCTGTTCGTTGCGCAATGATTAGTCATCGAACAAGCTTAGGGTAGGTAATTTCCCGATGTTGTTCATACCTGATGATGCAAAATTACAAAAAGTGATAAATTAATTTCTTTCAAGATTTTGTATTTTCTCGTGAATATAGTCTTGGACGTTGAATCACGATTTCTTAAATTGTTGTTGTTGCGCAAAGGCCAAGATGTATCTTGGAAATCGGTTCCAAAGAGTTATTTGCAATCGCAGGGCCTTCCAAATGGACAAATACCCAGTTCAATCGTTTGTATATTGAAGTGAATTATAATCACGATAAAGCTCTGCAAGAGACTAATTTGAGTTTCAACGTTTATAACGGCTTATTGCTATTGAATCAAACAGTCTTAGTGAGTTTGCACGCGAGCTCCTATCATGAGACCGTCTCCCGCGTGTATAGATCCCGTGCCGCTCATATAACCTCATGTCTCAAAACCACACTCTATTACTACTACCATTTCCAACTTTCGGACCAAAAACAAGTCCATCGAGACTGTCTCGGCAGTTTCTTTGTTTCAAACTACAGTCATGGCTTTCGATGCGTTCTCATGTAAGTTGTCATGCGGATATACGCCCAGAGATGGCATCATCGATATATCCGCGTGCGCAGGCATGGTATGATAGATATATCACTAAATCTCCGAAGTACAAAAGAAATAACTGAGGACCGCCATTAATATTGGGCTCGATATAGTACTCTCAGCGACAGAGACTCAACAAATGGCCTATAATATGGAGGTTTGTCTTACATCCCAACGTCTTGACTCCCACTTATACTCAGCAGCCTAGATCTCTAATCCCTTCATGGTCCACCACTCCCCTTCCCAACATAACCCTATCAGCCAGCGGGCTTCTCGTCCTCGCCGATCTTCGCACTATTTCCCGTCGCACTGCCCTCACCGGCGGTGCCTCATGGATCGATTCCCTTGTCCTCGCCCCTGGCTTACATTACCAACAAGCATGCGATGACCTTGAACGTGAGGCACCGATCGGCTTGATAGCACTACCAACACAGACCCTCGGCCAGATACAATATGCGGTGAAGAATACCATGACAGCGAGCTATCTCAAGAGTCTAGTCAAAGATGGCGCTGAGAATATCATCACTCTGGATGTTGGGCTGGATACACCTTGGGATGTGGTAAAAATCGTGGGGAAGGTGATTAGAAAACACAGGATCTCAGATGAAGAAGACGACGATGAGGACCATGAAGACTGGGCTTCCTTGTCCGATGTCGACTGGCTCAGCCATCTCCTCTACCTAATCAGTCCCCTCATAACATCAACTTCCATAGCATTCATGGTCATATTCGAAGACTGGTGGGGTCTCGCCATTCTCCTCACTCTCATCAGCTCTCGTATCCTCAACATCTGGGCCATAAAACAACGCATGACGCATTCTGAGCCCTCCCCAGAAAGTATCGCTATGACAGAATATACAATCGACCTTGGCGGAGGACATAGCGTGCGACTGCGCGGTCCAAATGCAGATCTACAAGCTCTTGTTACTCACGCTTGGTTGCGTACACAGTCAAGTCTCGAAGGCTATCTTGAAGCAGCGGCTAAGTTGATGGTATACATGTCTGCTGCACTGGGAGGAAACATGACACAGGCTGGAGCGATTGTGCTCATTGGATTGCTACTTACTAGTGCAGCTTTGCTAGGATTGAGTAATGCGCATGCACGGGGCTTTCGTATGCATGGTCGTTATGCGATGCCTCAGCGAACGAAGATGAGTGCCGTGGAGGTTCGAAGTAACACAAGTAGTACCTCAACAGGAGGCACGCACAACGAATTGGTTTAGTAACTCGAGTAGAAACAATAAAAGATCGAGTCATCAAAAAAATTGCTGTACTGATATGTATATGTGAACCATATGCTTTATTGCCTGTTGTCCGTGAATTCATTAGAACTATAAAGTCCCCTAAAATCATACTATACAAACTCCATCTCTTTCTGCTTGACCAGTTATACGGCCATTGGCTCTTCTAAAACTTCCTTATTTCCGTTCAGCCAGCATATTACTGGATATATTCAAACATTCTATTCCTGTTTTGGTTCTTGTTGGTTTTGTTCACCTTCCGCCACTGATGGTTCAGGAACAGCTGGGGCATCGACAGCAGGAGTCTCGACGATAGGAGCTTCAACAGCAGGTTCTTCGGTCTTGATCTCTTCAGTCTTTACTTCCTCGGTAACCATGGGCTCATCAGCTGGCTCAGCTGGTGCTTCGGGTATTAAAGCTGATTCGGGAGGAACATCAGCCGCTGGCTCTGTGACTGGTTCCGCAATGGGGTCTGCAAGTGTTTCCGCAGGATGCTCAGTAGTAGATTCGGGAGCAGTCTCAGTGATAGGATCGGCAGCAGGTTCAGGGACAGGCTCGGCAGTAGGCTCAACAATTAGCTTAGAGATGGGCTCAGAGACGGGTTCAGCAGCTGGCTCGATGACAGCCTCCTCAGGCACCTCAGCAACAGGCTCTGGCACCAACTCAGGCGCCGGTTCAGCTGATGCCTTTTGCTTCATACTCTCAATCTCTGCATGTTGTTCATCAAGTTTATCCATCAAGCTGGAAAGCAGATTAGGCGATTCCTCGCGAAGAATTTCTTCAACTGCAGGAGGAGCAGACTCTTCCTTAATCTCGGGTTGAGGTGGAGTAGGCTCCTTGGTCTCCTCTGGAGCAGGTTCTTGAGCAGTCTCTTCCGTTGTGGTATCTTGCACAGTGGTTTCAGCGGGTGGTTCAGGTGGAGGATCAACGATTGAAGGAGCCACTGCTGGGACATCTGTGATATCAGAGATGGGAGCAGTGATGGAGGCTGAATCATCAGGTTTGATGCTATCCTCTGTCAAACCAGTCTCAGTTGTTGTCAAAGGCGGTCGCTGTGAGACTGCCTCCTCACCAGCCTGAATATCTGTTGGAGGCTTGACTTCACTGCCGGGGCCAGAAGCGCCTGGCTCTCCAGAGCCTCCAGGAGGCGTGGTTGCGATATTACCAACCTCTTCAGGTGGGGGAGGCAGTAGTGCTTCGCTATCCGTTGGTTCCAACATTGGAATATCGCGATCAGTCGCAGCCTCAGGAGCCTCCCCAACAACTGTAGAGGGAGGTTCGGCTATGGTCGAATCAGCAGGTTTAACTGCAGATGCGACTGCTAGTTGTGGTCCTGGCCCGAAAGGAGCATCTATAGCCGCCTTCAGGAGCTGTTCCTCCGCTGAACCATGGGGTTCATCATCCTTGGTGGGTGGCTCCAGCGATGCTTGTGCAAGATTCTCCTCAGTCAGCTCAGGCTCCGCGGGCTTTTCATCTCCCGCAAAAGGCGCGTCTATTGCTGCCTTAAGCAGTTGCTCCTGATCCACCTCCTTTGTTGGTGAAGGCATAACCACGTTCTTAAGGGGGCTGCCTTCGATTCTGGATCCACCAGGTGTGAGGGTGGTCGGAGGTGCCAGACCTATAGGGTTTGGTGGCACAGGCACAGGCGCAGGCGCAGATGAGTCGGTTTGCATGATAGTATCGGGCTCGTCGTTTCCAAGAGTAGCTGGAAGAGCCGCTGGTGCAGGTTCTGGCGCAGGGGGTGGAGTAAGCGCCGCTTCAGTAGCGGCTGTGGGAGCGGCATCTGTCATCTCGTGATCTTGTGGCTTGTTGTTTTCACCATTTGCTTGACTCTCCGCAGCTGGTGTTGCCTCTCCCTCTTCAGCCTCGTCGCCTTCGTCATCATCACCATCGTCATCGTCATCGTCGTCATCCGCATCAGGCATTGGACTATCCTGATTGGCAGAGTCTTCACGTTCTTGCTTAATGGCCTATGAAAAATTAGCGATGGAGAACAGCACATCCACAGTTTCCAACGTACAGCTTCTGCAGGGTTCTCGGGCTTTGTTGGAACAGCGGACGCGGCACCATCTGCCCCAGCGACAGGCGCCGCCGCAGGAGCACCAGCCTCAGGAGGGTTTTTGATTTTCTTCTTTCCTCGGCCAGGACCAGCCTTGGCCTTTCTCTTCGGTGGTGGCGGCCTTCGTCGGTTGGGAACAGGCGTCGTAGCAAGTGGCTCAGAACCAGGAACAGGAGCTTGTTCAATCCGTGTCGAAACGATTTCACCCTGGACCTGTTGACCATCAGATAGCGTAACCTCTTCCGTGTATGGATTTCCGGCGGCATCAATTCTCCTGACAGTCGCCCTAGTAACTGTCGGTCCTTGAACCTTCTCTTCCACTGTCCGACTGGCGACCGTTACGGTGTTCTTCTGTCGTTTCGCGAGATGTGATGTACCAGGTGTATCAACATTACGAGGCAACTGCTTCCATACTTTCACGCTGAATCCTCGAGCGCTTGTGTCCTCTTCCTTCTTCTCTGGCTTCTCAGGAGCTGCATCGGCATCGACCTCTTCCTCCTCAGCTGGTGCAGGTCGTTTATAAAGTCTTCCGGATCGCGCAGCCGCAAGAAGTTCCTGACTGTGGGCTGGAAGTAGATGCGAGTCTTTCGGCATGCCGTGAGGTAAATCGATCGACCAGATATCATTCTGTTGGGTCTGTTCCTGTTGCTGTGGCGGCGCAACATTTATCCATTCTTGTCGCCATTGTCGCACGGGAAGACCTTGGGTTAATTAGTACGCGCCGTAGCATGCGATCGGTTGTTTCGTACCTTCGAAGTCGTCGTGCTCGGCATATCCAGATCTGTTGGCGCGTCGCGTCTATACGAATTAGTCGATGGTTGCGCAAGGGAAGCAGTGATTCACTCACTCCTGGCGCCATCGCGGCTGATTGAGAGTGCAGCGACTCTTATGATACTATAGCGATGATATAAACCTTTATTTTAATGCCGATTGAGTTGCGCTGCGGTCTCGTAATAATGTTGCCGTTTCAGCTTGGTTTACGAGGCTGAGTCGCGAGTCGCGATGGGCTGTCGAAGGTTGTTAGTTGGCCAATTGAAATTGGTGAGACCCGCTGACGTAATCCAATATCGAAAAGAATTGAAGATGATGGCCATTGAGTTATAAATAAAACGTCAATAACGACGGACATATTATGTTAAGAGAGCAGAAAGTCTTTTTTTTTTTTTTTCACATAAAGTCCATCTACATTTCAAATTTGAAGTTTGGACAAGGAATTCCAGTGGATGGTGGCGCCCAAGCTCTCATAGCAAAACGCCTGGTAGACATGCAGCCTGACAGCATTTGAGACAGAAACCAAAGATTGAGAGCCAAATAGAATCAGAATTGAGATTCGCCATCTGCCTAGTATTCGAGCCGCAGTGCCCATTCTCCAGTACCTCGAAACACCCCCGGGGCTCGCTGACGCCTTTGAACCTTTGTGGTATCCGATACATATACATTTATCCCCGTAACCTTGCTACTGTACACACGAGTTGTCTCTTTAATCCTTTATCCAGTCGTTTCGAGATCGTTATGGTCAAATCGTTTAGTCGTAACTGCGTCAATTATCAGTGATGAATGGTGGCGAAAGAAGCTTTTTTACGTACCCCTGCTCCTTCTGCCTCAAAATCTCTTGATTGTTGCCCGTCTGCTTGCCCTGTTGCATGGTCAGTATGCTAGATATGTGATCTCAATGGATCTGACTTACCGAGATTCCTCCCTCAACAACTAACCGGTCGAGTTGGTAGAACTGGCTGATGACCGTTTGGCGCTATTCTCTGTCAGCACTTCCCCTTCCCGATAGCAACTTTATCACACACCTTCAAGCTTTGAAGTTCCTTGATTCCATGCTGCACCAACTCCTGCACCTTTCGGCTATCCTGCTCGCCTTGATGCTCTCGGAAAGCATCTCTCGTCCGTCGCTTCGCATACTCTCGGAAGTTGTACGCAGCGAATTGCGAGCCTTGCCGTAATAATTGGCGGTACTGTACAAAATTCCCATCAGCAATTGTCCATAATAAAAGTGCACGGCGATCTCTGCAAATTTCCGCGGCCACAATGAGGGGCAAGGCTCACGAGTGATCGGACTTGTTGCGGCATGTCGCCTTTGAGTGTACCAACGACAGACATTTGGTGTATGGTGTAGGTTGGGGAAATCGACTAGATTGTAGATTCGCGACGGCTTAGAAGTATCCGATGATGCAAGACATTTGACGCTGCGGGCTCGGTGTTAGTCGGCGCGGAGAAATTTGCCGCTCCGGCCGGTCTTTCCGCCAGGCTAATTCGTACTGTATTAAGCAGCCATGTTTCGGGGTCAAGCACAGTGCTTGAAAGGCCATTACTGTTCGGCATCATGCTCCGTATATATCGGTGTATTATCAAGCATTAACGACATCATTACGACTTGTGCATTCACGATAAAAATCTTGCCAAATATATAAGGAAAGAAGCTTTGTTCAATGTCACCTCCACGGAGATACGATTACCAGAGAACACTGTATTGTGATCACATATGCCAATAATCCGACATTGGATATAGGCTAAAGCAACAACATTTAGTTAGTACGTGTAGGTGAATGTTCAATGATCAGTTTGTATTTTCGGTAAGTCTTAGCTACCCTAGAGCATTGAAGTTTCGCTTGATCTTGTGAGAACATGTGGGCATGTCTTTAGACTGTGTTTGGGCTACTGTCTCTTACACTGAAGAAACAAGTGGTTGGATTCCTGTGTGACTACTCAAGCAATGCAAACTGAGGCTGAATTGTCATTCAATGAATTCCTTGTGAATGCAGGGAACTTGTAAGGTGCCGTGCAACTCACCTCAACCAACACTTACACGACAAAGCTCTTGGTCTACTTACGAGACTTCACCCAACTCATAAAAGCAAATCCATTCGTGCAAATTCGTATCATTCCAACTTACATTTCACTGATGCCTCACTGCAACTACTCCTATCCCTCGCATCCAATTCCTACGGGCATATCCGCCACCTGTCTTGAACACTGAAGCTGAAAACACCTCTCCTTGCAGCGGGTTCTTGATCATGTCCGAGAATAGCTGTAGGTATTGGGCTAGAACCCAGAATTCAAGCATGGAAACAAAAGCACAGTGATGATCTCTTCTCTCGCGCGTGTTGTCTCGGGCTTAGGAGCCGTTTCTGTCGGATGGACTATTCCGCGTCGTGGTGGTCGGGAGGTACGATAACAAGACATATGCAAGGGAATAAAGTCTCACAAGTTAACTAATGTCAAAAGTATCATAAGTTGCATTTAACGAAAAAGATTCAAATTGGATGACGATAATGTTATGATCAATCAGAAAACCTCAGCTGGGTCAGTATCGGGTAGTGTCATTTCCCCAGCAAATACGACTGCAAGTCTCTCCTAATATGGACAAGTCCATCTGAGCGAAAAACCCGTTTATCGGATCTGGGTGACGATACTACTTGGTTAAGTGGCAGATGTTACACTCGCAGAGAGTCTCGGAACCCCTTGCATGAGAATCCAACACTAGCGCCCACAGCATTTATCATCTGCATTAGAAAATCCCTTGCGTTAAGAAGGAAACGAAACTGAAATGCAGCCACACTTTGCTGCAAGAACTTTTTTCAATGAGATGCACGTTACCCCGAACCGGTGAGATGCAACTCCAAGTGCGGGTTATGGCAGCCACCACGAATTCAGTCTCCCAACAAGGAAGTCAGGTTGACAATGCTTCTCCCAGAGAATGTGAGTTGTGACGCATGTACAACCTGCTGTACGCTTTGACATATTTCTCAGGAAGGCCAAGTTGGAAAGAGAAGAGTGAACGAGGCCAGCAACGTGAGTTGTACAACTTGTTACATAGGACATGCTAGAGCGTTGAGGCTGAGAAAAGGAACGGGAAGCAACATGAACTAATCCGAAACGAGGTTCGACTGTGGATGGTTTATGCGTGCTCTCAGGACATTACACATTAGAATATTTGAGAAGCTAGCTGCTGTATGGGTGTGCGCTTGCGGCAGATGTCTAACTAATGGGGTCTTGGAGTAGGTTGCAGCTGTTTATGATGGCCCGAAACTGTGCGTCCTGTCTAGCAAGTTCGTCATCTTGTTGGCTCTCTGGTGGATTTGTTACAGATGAGATTGCTGTCTCAAGAGTTTCTGATGGGATCCCATTGGTCTCAAGCAACTGATCGAGCTTTGTATGCTCCCCCAGATCCGTGGTGAGCTGGGCCGTAAAGTTGTACCGCTTTAGGCTCTGGTTAGGCTTCACAATGGATACCGTCTTTGTTGGTTGCTCAGTTGATAGCGGAGGTATGAAACACAAGTTGGTGACAGCAGCATTTAGATTCGCAACGTCTGTAGGATGGCCGTTTTCGGCCAGACTCCACCGTAGAATCTTGCCCTTGGTGTGTCCGGACAATATCGAAGTGCCGTCATATGTCAGAGCAAGGCATGATGGCTGTCCAACTTCTGGATCCGAAACAGCAAGCGGGGTGTTGATTTGCACAACAATAGACGGCAGCTCTGTGCTGCGGGAACCAAGCAACGGCTTATCGCCACCGAATAGCTCGACAAGGTAGACAGCACCAGCCTCAGAAGACACGAAGAGTGCCCTGGCACTTGGATCCAGACGGGCGCAGAGAGGGAAGGTTGGGAAGAGCAGTGTGCGGAGAAGCTGGCCGGTCTGGTAGTTCCAGATGATGCATGTCTTGTCCTTACTGGCAGACACGCATATGCTAGTTTCCGGGTTGGTACCACGACCGACAGTTAGACTTGTGATAGCACCGCGATGGTTGGAGAGGGTCAGATCAGGTTCTTGTTCCGCCTGAGCATCGAGCTCCAGAAGTCGTGATATTGACCACACATTAATGTTGGAGTCATCAGAACCGGATAGAATGTGATATGGTGTCACGGCCAAGCAAGAAACGGCTTGAACATGGCAAGGTGGTGTTGACACTAGTCGGCCAGTACACGTCTATATCACTTGTCAGTATTCATATTCGACGAATTCAACATACATATCAGGTAGCACTCGCAACGGTGAGAGTGACATGAGTGAGACTGAACTAACCTCCCAAAGAAATAGTCTGCCCTCGGTAGAGCCTACGACCAACACTTGACCAGCAAGGGCCAAGCTACGGATCCTCTCAGGGAACGGCACGAGAGCCTCCTGGTTGCCGCGTATACGCGAGTAGACGTGAACATGTGCCTTTTGGTCTTGTGCCGCAAAAATATGAGACTCACTGACGGCTAGACCGTTGACGGGGGTTGAACTTTTCTTGAAAGATGCCTTGATGGTGTGGGATGGTGTAAGGGAGTGAGAGTAAATGCCGACGTCCTTGGAAACGGCTGTGTTGGCGGCGAGAGGAGGACCGCAGATGGTCGAAACGAACTCTTGGGTCAACATTGTTTTGGCTGCCGTTGGCGAATGTCTTTTTCGGAGTTAATGAGATAGCTTCTACTGAGAGAGCTCTGCTGGGCTTTCGACTAAGGAATGTTTGTTGGCCCAAAGTCGTGGTAATGGCTGCGGGAAAGCGCCCAAGAAGTCGGGATCAGCCAATTCACAAAGGTAGTTGGCCCTAAATCCCGCAATGGACCATGCGTTCGGGAGACTGGAAGTGTTGTAGAACAAGCAAACAAAGATGGTGCTTGTGGTGGTGTAGACTGAAGCGAAATAGCGAGCAAAACCAACAAGCACTTACAACTGCACCTAAAAAACTAGGTGGTGTTGCTCAGCTGACCAATCAGAGCCTGTCTTTCACTTTTTTCAATGGCTTTTTTTCTCTTCGTATTGTGAAGGGTCCAGGTTTGTCCAGGTCCAGTTCTGGGTCCAGAATTTTTTAGGATGAAGCTAAGACAAGACGAGACGAGACGAGATTTTTGATGAAGGAGATCTAATGTCTCTGAAAAGGCCGAAACAAAATTGTTGGGATCGCTGTTGAAAGAACTTTTCTTTGTCTTGTTTGCTCAGTTGAAGCACAAGCTTTGACCCTTTCTTTCGTCTGCAGCCGCGAAGTTTTGATTGCTTTTTTGGTGGATCCGGGCTCTCTTGCGCCAAATGCAGCCGCGGGCGGTGAGCGCCTGATTATTTGGAGATTAGCGCGGTGGACAGTGCACGAGTCCCCTAGAAATGTCACCATGTATCCATAATTCAGGTACCATCAGTGATTGATAGATCCAATTCTCCGGCTTCAGATTAAATATTGGCAAGATTCGCTGTAGCTACAGTTGGAGCTGATTGAAGTTGCATTGAATTGTTGTAATTGGAACTAGATAAGAGTGAGTTCACGAGCAATTGGAAGAACTAACTTAGTTGAGCTCCACTGTCTTACCTGCCATCCAGCAACTTACAGTACAGGTGTTTCCTCTGAACCTGCACTGAAGCTCACTAAAACAGTTCAGTGCTTCAAACGTAATTGTTTTTTGCTTCTCGCATCATCATCGACTCTCCCTCAACAATTGACATCACTCCCTTGCTTACGGGTACTCCACTCTAATTACCTGTCTTGCCGACCGTTACCACAGAGAATGGTTCTCTTTCCTTGTTCTTACTTCTCTTGCCTTCATTAAGCGTTAGCCTGCGGGCACTATCACGTACCAGACTAACCTCATAGTCAACGCGGTGATGTTGATTTCAGGTTTGATCATCAAATTGACATCAAGGACAGTTTGAGAGAGCTACATTTCCCTCATTTGATCTCCTGCATGAGAACACATGGCCTAGGCTTGAAAGTGATATCACTTCTCGCCCATCTCATCTCGTCACCTTTCGCTTCCAGCACGTGCAGACGATAACCATGTGGTGACCGATAAGCGTAACACATACACGCATACCTGACCCAGTTCTACTGATCTCCCTTACATCTGCGGACCAGGGACCCTCTCACCCTACCCTGTCCTGTCAAGTCTGTCAAATCTGACTTGCTTGGGTTCTCCGCATCTCCATCGCTTCCCTGGCTATTTCTCATTATCGTCCCCTGCTTACAGATCCGACTCTTCCCCGGCACAATTGCGTATAAACGACAGCTTAGAGAGAAGCTCTACTCTGTCTTGACCAATTCGGGGCCGAGACTCTACAATGGGGATCAGAGTTTAGCTTGCATACCAGTCTTTCGTTTCAGCCACGGTGCCATCGCAACAATGTTGCTAAACAGGTCAAGGTGCTTACTGACTGACTATGATCACATCCAGTGATGCTTTGCGATCAGAGGAGCAGATCTAATTATTCCCGGATCATGCACCAGCACTAACTCGCCCGCCTTTTGAGGATCTAATCATCTCACTGACGCAAAACTGTCTATCCCATGGCGTCGACGAGTTCAATGCCCAGCCGCTATTTGCGCCCTTGTTGATAATGTCTTGGCACACTGGAACATCATGTCCAGTGTTGCTTACTTGTCTGGACGCACGCTAAGTGGAATTCAGTTGTCTTTCCTTACTGATGGTAGCTTCAAGTGAAAGTTCTGTCTTGGCGGGCATTCAGCTTCCCAGCCCTGCATAGTTGCCGTTCGCGGACAGTCGCTCGCGGCATTTTCCCGCTTGAGCTTTTTGTGAAAGCCGCGGGCATGTTCGCGTTCTCCAAGTGGAGATGTGATGTGATATGTAGAGATGCCACAACAGATTCCAGCAGCCTGCAACCCGAGATGGAGGTTACAATGCTCATGGGCAACACAGACAACTCCCTTCTTGTCCTCCCTTGCGATTCTTCCTTGGTTTCTTCGCCCAAGGATCAGCAGCCTCCAACCTTGAGGTCGAAAAGAGTCAAGGCCCATTAGAGCCGCTGTGCTTGGTGGTGGTCTATACGAACCTGTCCTGTCTTGTCTTGATTTGTTTTGCTTTTTCGCGGCGCGACCATTGCCTCCCCGACAACGCCACTCAGATTCCCACCCCATTCCTGTCGTAAGGGCGTGGCCGTTAGTTACATTCATCTCTTCCGCTACCAGTGCCAGTGCCAGTGCCAGTGCCAGTGCCAGTGCCAACGCCAGTCCCGATGCCAGTATCACGTTCTTGGTTACCTGGCCTGTGCTATGTGCAACTGCCACAGACCCCGCCCGTCCATTCTTTGACTTGCCCACTGTAGCCCAGTTTCTTGATTCCATCCCATGGCTGTCGACGTTTACAGTACGTACTTGTACATGGTCTCGTCGATCTAACGGACTAATAAGCCCCTGCCTCCCTCGATCGCCGGTGTCTCGCCCTGCATGTCCACTCCTAGCCACTCTTATATCCACTATTCCCTGATGACTTGCGATTAAGTTCCAGTCCGAGTCAAATCACATAAGTGTTGTCGTGCCCTTTGAGATCGCCCTCCTCTAAATGCCAAGGCAGTGAATCACGTTAATTCGTGGTCTCTTGTTGTTGTTAGGTCTTGTTCGTCCCTGCATCAGCCTCCATGTCTGTACTCGCTCCTCGGATTCCAGTGGCTATATACTTATACAGGCAAGATCCAAATTCCCGCGAGCCTTCACCATCGCCTTCGGCATCATCTACTCCTTCGAAAAGACGTTCAGTCTCGAGTATGACAGGCTTGCTACCGCTTGCATTGCCAACTCCCCGTTCAGGCACACCGAGTATTCTCGACGAAGAAGTCATCGACGACATGATGGATTGTTTTCCCGAGATGCTAGCCAGGGATCTGGAAAGATCGAGCTCAGTGTTCATGGCAAAGAACATGACTGCTGGTATGCCATCTGCTCCTGTATGGTTTGCAGAAGACCAGGCCAGTCGGGGCATAATGGGACCAAGTCGAATTATTACTTCCCCATATCAATCCGGATCCGTGCGAGTACAGAACTTGGGGTCGATAGAAGAACGACAGTCAATGGTGTCTTTTCTTGAACACCGCGGACATGGTATTGACGAAATTGAATCAGATGAGGAATCCGATGCATCATCAGAGTCCTCTGAAGCCATTGAGGTTCCTTCTATCAAGTTACGCGAGCAATCCATTGTCACAACAGCGACGTCTCTCACATCAGCTAGTGGAAACCCACCATCACCCAAAGATCTCTTGTCACCGACGCGAGGACAAGAGTATAGCTGGATTGACGTTGATTCTGACGACGATGATGAGCCTGAGCCTGAATTTCGGGAGCAGTTGGCTACCCCGAAAGAGACCGCTGCTTTATCACCGCGACCTCCTACACCACCAAACACAGAACCTACCTTTGATATCACTGTCATGATGGAGGCGCCCAGACCTCGCCTCCACAGAGCCTGCTCTTGCATTGATGAGTCTCCCAAACAGAACAAACACAAAAGGCAATTCTCAGTAAAATCTATGGACGCGCCAACTATTCCTCCCAGAAAAGCATCCCTCACAAGTGCGACAGATACATTGGACACAACTCCTCGGATCGTAATACCCAGCTTTGATTCGCGGATAAGCCCGGACAGTCAAGGTTACACCAAGCAGTCACCCTCTTACACCCAGCGCATTCGCGATGAGACCGACAACAACACAATCCTTCTCAAATCAGACTTTGGATCAATTGAGCTAGAAATCGAGGACGAAGACACATTCATGGATCACTACCCACCTCCCCCACCAATGTCACGACCTGATACAGTTTATATCGAACAAACTCCACCACCATCACCACTACCCACCGTCGAATCTTGGCTCGACGATTCGAATCCTCCTTGTCTTCCTCAAATTCCCGTTGACGACTTGGCCAAGGCCGTGCCACTGCCACCTGATATTATCGAAACACTGCGAGTCTCAATTGCTTGCTTTCCGGAAACAATGCTCTTGTCATCCAGCTTGACAACAGAAACAATCCGCGCATACTCAAAGAAAGTTCGGCAACCGTCAGTCGATGTTTGGTCTGAACCAGCTACCGACTCATCGACACTGCACCCACGAAAGTCAATCTGGAAGAAAGTTGTCTCACATGGTCGCGATTCAACTAGCACCAGACGTCAGCGGTTACACTCGTATGATAGCAACACACATTCGGGCGTCGCCGCATCTCCAGTGCCTTGGGCCCCGTTGCGGCATGTGTTTTCCGGCTGCTCAGATTACATCTGTGATGCCTTGTATGCGCACATCGTCGCCTACAACTACGTTTCACGACTTCCCCGCAACCAGCCATCAGGACAACGAGCGTCGACCTCCGACTCGAAACAGCAGGGTGAGAACATCCCCAAGAAGGCTGCGTCGCTTCTAGGACTAGGCACACCTCAGGTCAACCCCTCACCTAGTGTTGGTCGGTTCGCCAAGAAGTTCAGTGCTCCCCTGTCAGTCATGGGATTCGGCAACGAAGAGGCATCTACAGCAACTGTTCAAGACAATGCGACACGAAACATCGAATCAGGTCTTCTTCGTTGTATCTCCAGGCTAGTCGCTACGGCCAGGATGATCTCTGAAGGAGGTGCTGGGGAGGAGAGATTAATAGACACTGAGCCGCCCCAGGAGGTTGATATGATTTTTGTGAGGAGTATATGTGAGATCGTTAGATTATCAGAGGAGGCATGATGAAGCCTGGTTATTGAAGCAGCACAAACCTCCGGGGCATTGACCCGTTGCGTTCTTATCAGAAGCCTTCTTTTTTATGTTCATATATGGGAATGGTGTTAATGGTTGTATACCCTGATTCACAGGTTGGGACTTTTTACTTGGCCTGTGGACCAACGAACTCGAGATAATGGAGTCACGTCGACTCTGAATTGAAACATTACACTGCAATCTTACTTAGTACTCCTCTGCTATTGTCAGCCAAGTGACGTCTGACTGTTTCAGCTCTTCCACCAACGCATTCCCAGGAATCCATTCCCCCGTCTAACGTTGCACCGAGTCCATGGATACTGCTCGCCAAGACGTTGATCCCAGACCAAGGGATAAGAGGCTTTAAGCTATTGAGGATAACAAACTTGGGGATAATGAGGCTTTCGAACTACCAACAAACTACTCTAATATTTTAAAGTTCCCCGTACGGGCGCTGGTCCCTGATTATCTGAAGGGGGAGGTTATTCAGGCTGAGCTATGGCGTTTTAGATCGTAGAGCGCCCTAAAAACCAGATGGTTCCCGGAGCTAGGGGAGCTCTACTATCTTAGCTCGAATCGAAACTTATGGTAGCATTTCAGCTTTCGGGCCCGAGGCTTGCCGTGATTTGTAATGCGTGTCATGAGACGACGCCAAGAGATCTAGGGGTTGTGTGACACATGCCTAAGGGATTTGTGTTATTGTCGGAGAGTTTCAAAATCACGGACTATGGCTAATTCATCGATTATACAGCCAGAGGACCTTTATCGTCGCCAAAAAGCTCGTCGTACCAATTCACAGCGTGACCCGGCTTCTGACACACGGCGTCCCAGTCTATAGGCGTAAAGTTTGGTTTCAGGGGAGAAAACACGCGGGCTTTTCGCTGCTTATCTTCTTGCGGCGATTTATACTCGATCCTTTGCCCGTTGAGATCGATCTCTGCGAGTGCGGGAGGTGAGGGGGTTGGTTTGAGACGCTGGGTGATGAGATGACGGAGGTGAGGATAGTACCACATCTTGTGCCACCAGTTCTTAAGTCTGAATCCTTTAAGCCCGTTTATGTAGGCGTTATGATGGATTGCGATTGGAGTTGTGCCGAAGAAGAAGTCTGTGTAGAGGTGGATTGTACCCCAGTTTGTAGAAGAGAGGAGTTTATCTTTTATGCGTCGTAGTTCGGATGGTATACCATGAATGCGAACATCTCCTGGTACACCAGCTTTTTGAGATTCTTCGTGGATGTTGGTCTCATTGGAGAGGCTGACGAAATAACCGTCTTCTTCGGACGAACATGTTGGTGGTGCCGTTGTGAAGTTGTAGTCTAGACCGATACCGAATTCGAATCGTTTCCCAAGGACGGCAGCATCTGCGATATCACGAACTGTGCTACCGAGAGAACCTCTATCGTTGAAAGCAGCAGAGCCATTCCACGAAGATCCAAGATGTCTCATCCACTCGCGCCAAATCTCCTGGTCCCCAATGACCTCTCCAATAAGTGCCTGATCACTCCAAAGCTGACGACCCTTCATAGCCACTGTATCGACCTTTTCCTTGGATCTTTTGAGTGCATCTCTCAATCCTCCCATAGTACCCATGATAAGTCCACTATTGACACATCGTGGTCGAACCTTTTTGTACTTGCGCGCTGGATCGAAAGACCATGGGACTTTATCTGTGTCTTCTCCGTACATGTCTTTTGGCATAGGTGATTCAGGCCAGTGCTCATAGTGAGGATCAGACCCGGAATATGCATCGGGAAAACAATCTTTTGCTGTAGTGACGATGATATCCTGTCGAGGCGGTGATATAGGAAAGTCAGTGCCAATACCAATACTTTTCCACTGCTTGCGTATTCTAGCATCTGCTTCACTATTAAGACGATGATATCGTTCTAGTAGAACAGAAGGCGGAAGTTGAAACCACATATCATACGCATCAACCAAGACCGCAATATCATCCTCTCCTACATCGTCGCTTTTTGATTCAAGGAGTGTTTCGATGGCCCCTAGAAGACTTTCGAGTTTGGCGATGTGACTACCTGCAAAGTGCCATGCTGGTCGATTGTATTCGCGCTTCCAGTTTAGAAGAATGGGCATGGGATAACCCATTGCGACAGCGGACATTATGGTTTTGCAGAGGTTGATGTGAGGTGAGTCTGCGGGCATGAAGAGGCGCATACGACGGGATGAACTTGGGTTGGAGGATCGTTGAGGGACTGCAAGAGCTTGTAGCTCATTGACCGTGAGAGCTGATGTATCATGGTGACCGGAAATAATATGGCTTAGTGTTCGAGAAAACTGATGTTGTTAGTCGAGTTTGTGATGGTGAAGTTTGGTTGACTTACAAGTCCCGTATATGTTATCCATGAGACAAGGACGAATGTAAAGATGATGACTATCCATCTGAAGCTTTTTAGATATCGTGGGATGAACCATGATGGCTTCAACTGCGCCAGAACTGGTCGAGCTGACTGGGCAGATGGAAACGACGCATCTTCAGGGTCAGCATTTGGGACTCTTCTCATCCTGGAGGACGAGCGATGTGATATCGAAGACGAGGTCATTACAGAACACCTTGATCATGTTGATGGGAGTGGTACAATCATCTTTGACAATCGAATATGAAATATTATGAGATCCTCGTGACTACATGGTAAAGATCATCTACTCTGCTAGCTCTTCTCTTCAATCTCCTCATGATACTGTAGTTTATCTATCATGACTCTAGCCTCCAAACAATCCATCATGAACCCACTATTCGCCGCAGATCTTTAGCGTTCAATCAATACGCTACAGCCAATCACTCGACATCGTGCCCTTGAAAACAGCCCCACGTGGTCCAACAAGAGGCTCTTCATCAGCTTCCTCTTCCATCCAATCTTTGTACGTCATTTTACGCTGGTGATGAATTGATTCGTAACAAGATGCTCTATAATTCCCCGACAGGTCCTTATCCATCTTTAGGTATTAGAGACATGCGTCAGTTTTGGCTCTCTCGTATTTATCCGCGGTCTTTTGGGCTCCGTGAACCGTATTCGGCCAAAGGGTTAAATAAGCGTGCATTGCATGTGTGCAGTATTTATTGATTTCAGGCTGCTCAAGTATTGGTTGGTTTGTTCTTTGTTGAAAGCCTCTTTTTTTTTTTTGTTTTTTTGCTTCACCTTTTCTTTTTGACTCTTCCATGGAGGATTAGGTGATGGAGTTCAATATGGATGCTCAGAAGAGCTCTAGGCTGAGCGTGACGATGCTAACGTACCTCGGTTTTGCGATTCTCGGTAATTTGATTATGACTATGTCTTCACATGAAGCCTCAACTGACCACTTTCAGGCCTCGTGAATGCGATTGTGCCGTTCATCGTACATTCAGCAAATTACCTCATCATTCCATATCCACGATGGATCGTTCTTCTTATCGAGACTCTTCCAGCCTTGGCCACGAAACTATTAATGCCACATGTTCTTCATCGTATTCCTTACTGGATGCGTCCTCTCACCATCGGAGCAGGCTGGATCATTGTGGCTATCATCACAAACGTCACGCCGCCTAATATTGCACCGCCACTCCGAATCTTGACATCGGTTCTGGCATCGATATCCGCTGCTGCAATGGAGGTTTCGTTCTTGGGAATGTTACGGTACTACGGCCGTGTTGGACTCGCAGGATGGGGCGCTGGTGTTGGAGCCGGAGACGTATTCTGCGCCGTCTTACCCTTTGTCCTAACAGTCTGGCTGGAGTCCTTCTTACGGGACTTTATTGACTGCATTTATGCACTTACGGGCGCTATGCTCGTGGCATTCTTTGTCATTCTCCCAGGAGCACCTGTTAACTATCCCCATGCGCAACAGGAAGCGTCAAAGGTGGATGTGGAGGATGCTTCACTTCTAGCCCAGGATCCAGTCGAGCAGCTCTCACGTATGCTCAGCACGAGAAACCGACTTAACCTCACGAAAGCCATGATTCGACCATTCATGATGCCTTTATTTGGAGCATTTTATATTCAGGCTTTGGCGTACCCAGGAATCTCACGCGCTTTACCTCTTCCTGCGTCGTATACCTCGTTCTTCTCTTATTTCACCACATACGGCCTCGCTTTCCAACTCGGCAACTTTATCTCCCGAACGCACACGCTTTTCTTCCGACCCACTAGCACCAAAGCCGCTTTTACAATTATCGGGGCTTCGACCTTCATCTTGCTCGCCAACTCGATCTTTCTGGTCTTCTCAACAGAAGTCCTTGTGGGTCTACTGGCTTTCGGAGCTGGTATTGGAGGAGGAGCAGTTTATATGACTGTTTTCGACCGGCTGCTGCAAGACAAGTCTTTCGAGTCGGGGGTCAACTTGGAGTTTGGTCTTCAGGTGGTGGGTGTTGGCGAGACTTCTGGTGTTATTGTTGGTGGGTTGCTGGGCGTGATGCTCGAAAGTCTGATGTGTGGAGGCACATTTACAACCACAAAAAGATGGTGCCATACCGGTCATTGATGAGTGTAAACACGGATGATAGAGACGGCCTGGATAGTAAGATTTATGACTAAATGAACAATTGAATTCGATTAAGAAAATTACACTCGACTTACAGCCATCCCGATTTGGGCTAAAATCATGATCATCCTATCAAGCCCTTTCAAATTATAGTTAATGTCAAAAAGAAATATTACCTGAGTATATAGAATTTCATGAGACATACTCCGTACTGTTCGTTTCGTTCAAGTAGAGCATTCTTGAACCTCATTCGTCAGCTTGATCTATACCCATGAGGGGACTAGCCATAAGCACAGCCACCTCACTATACCCCAGGCTTCAGCTTTAACCATTAACTCTTACACCAGCTCATCAACCCATTCTTCATTTTTCCAGAAAAGCAAAGCAGTTTATCTCATGACACTCATCCATTGCCATTGTTCCTTAACACAGCCATCTTTACCCTTACCAACTGACATTCTTCGCCATCATGATGAAACGAAGGACTCACAACAAGTCTCGACATGGCTGTCGAAACTGCAAAAAACGCCATGTAAAGGTACATACTCTAATCCCATCTCATAATATATCACTAATACCCTTAGTGTGACGAAGGAGGTCCTCCCTGTACCAACTGTCTAGCCCGCAATCTCGAAGGCTGCTCATATCTCACCGAGCCACCAACCCAACTCCCAGCAACAGAGACCAGACGCAGAATAGAACTTGAACTCATGCATCGCTGGACATCATCAAGTTATAAAAGCCTGGCAAGCATCCCAGAAGATAACCAATGGCTGCAAGAAGATATGGCTCGCTGGGCTCTTAAGCATGAGTATCTCTTACAGGGCATGTTTGCCTTCTCAGCTCTCGAAGTTGCGCTTTGCGGTGGTGCCGTGGTGGTTGAAGAAGATTATACTACTTACTATGCTAAGCTGGCAGTGGAATACTACGACAAAGCGAGTCGTTCATTCAGAGCACAGCTTGAGAACGTAAATTCTGAGAATGCCCAGAAGATCTTCATGTTCTCATTCCTCGCTGTTGCTGTGAACATGGCTCTGGGCCAATGCAGTGCCTTTGAAGAACTTCATGAGGGTGTTCTTGAACGTATGGTGGCATTATGGGAGCTCCTCATGGGAAATGCCTCTATCGCCAATCAGCACTTCGACACTTTGATATCAGGAGCTTTATCACGATCCACAGAGGCTTTGATGCTAAGAACACAACTTCAGACCGAAACGCCCACATCATTGAGCAAAGAAACTGAGGAATCTCTGGAAAGTCTGAGCGTTATCATCAACAAAGCCTGCGAAACACCTTCTGGTTCAACTCCAAACGACCAGTCCGAAGCCAGCGTCCGAATCAGCTCATACCGCGCTAGCTTCTCCGCCATTCAAACGTGTTTCGTACAAGACTCCAAAGACATCTTCAAAGGAATGGCGATAGGATTTCCAGCGCTTGCAGGACGAGACTTTGGGCTAGCGCTCAAGAGTTCAGATCCGGTGGCTTTACTTCTGATGGTGTTCTGGGGGGTGCAGCTTGACACATTAGGCAAGATCGCTTGGTGGGTTGGTACCTTTGGTAAGAAGATGGTGGACGAAGTCTCAGAGATGTTGTGGGAACCTGAGCCTGAGTTTGAGATTATGGATATGTCGGAGTGGAGAGAGTGTATTACTTGGGCGAGGGCGGAGGTTGGTCTAGCACCCATCGTCGAGACTACAGAGGAGCCATGATTTAAGGATGCATTTTGTACAATATGTGTAAAACTGCACGGTGTGAGGTTTGGATACGGACTCACCACTTATTTGGCTTGTTTAAAGGCCACACATATGCCCAACTCAGTCTACTAGGCTTTTGTTTTATTGAGCGGCGTTCAGGTCTAAACCAGTATTACAGCAGAACCAATTGGTCTCCGATAATCCAAGCTTGCGCTGTTTCCTGTCTCTTTTCTGGTGCTTATGTGCCCCCCCTTAATCAAATCGGCAATGTTTGCCTGGTATCTTAGTCTATTTTCCCCTTATTCCTTACCCCATCGTGAGGTCTCGTCGCCCTCCTTCCATTCACGCTCGACATATCCAAGCTCTTTCTTGACCTTTTCGACAGTATCCTTGTCGCCAGTGTTCTTTCCAATGTTGTCACTATAACAAATTAGTCAAGACTATCGTCAGTCCAGATACAAAGCACTCACCTGATCTTGACAGCTGGGCGGCCTGCCGCTGAGCTGATTTTGATGACAATGTTCAAAGGCACAGACTTGGTGCCAGTCGTGAGGTGGACAAAGTCATTGGTAAGGTATGTTCCCACACCAAATGTTGGTTGGAAGCCAAGGTCCTCGGCAATCTTCTTATACTCAAGACACCTTTCAATGTTCAGTGAGTCAGAGAAGACAATGAGCTTCTTGTCGGTGATGCCCTGCTTATCGTAGAACTCTCTCATCCACTTGGTGTATTCTGCAGGGTCGCCAGAATCTTGACGAATACCAGCGAAGGTCTCGGCGTATGTCTTGATAGTTCCATCAGCCTTCTTGAAAGTCTCTGCTGGGAATCCACCCTCGATAGGTTGCACGGGCTGAGTGAATGCTCGCAGAAATTCTTGGGTTCCGAATGTGTCGGTCAAAGCAATACCGAGCTTGTTGCCGAAACAAGCTACCCAGTGTCGCAGCGCGACCTCGGTGGCTGACTTGTAGTCACCGATAATAGCGGCAACACCCATGAACCACTCGTGAGCGACAGTTCCTACAGGGGGGATATTGAAGCGCATAGCCAGATGAACGTTACTGGTTCCAGAGAGCTTGCCAGGGAATCCCTTCTTCTCAGCTTCCTTGGAAGCTTGTACTAGCCCTCTGAATACGAGGGCTTGGGTGTGGTAGTCGCGGCGTCTTCGTGTGCCGAATTCGGACGTGATGCATCCTGCCTCCAACAGCTTGAGTCCCTTCTCAAATGCCTGCTTTTCTTGGCCCTCATAGTTCCAGTCTGTGTCCATAAACTTGAAGTACGCCTCGGATGTCAGCGCAAGCATGGGAATTTCGTAGAGAATGGTGTCGACCCAAGTGCCCTTGATCTGGATATCGACGTCGCCGACAATTGAGTCATCTCCATTATCCTCGCCGACAGGAGTGAAGGTGGCGACAACTTGTTCTCGGGGGCTGAGGCGGAACTCCTTGAGGAAGTTGAGGTAATCATCAGAGAGGTAGTCGCAGTGCTTCTTGAGGAAAAGGTATTCGTCGGTAGAAAGAGAAATGTTTCCGAGCTCTGTCCATCAAGGTTAGTCTGAGACTTGGAGGCGTAGACCACCAAAAGCCGCGCTTCTTACTTCGGATTTGCTCTTCGAGCCACTTGAAGGCGGTTCGCGACAGCTTCTTGTCTGGAGTTCGGTTGGTGTAGGCGTATGTCACAGGTACATCTTTGAAGAACTTGAAGACGGCGCATTGCATCGTCAACTTGTACAGATCAGTGTCCAGGAAGGAGATGACGCCCTCAGGAAACGGCGAGGAGCTGTTGAAATCCATGACGGAGTTTGGAGGTGTAGCTATGGCGAAGTCGAACTCGGGAAAGGAATTCTTTCTTTTTATAGTTGGGACTTATAGAATTCGGGGACTAGAGTTCGGGGATGCGGAAGTAAATCGAGGAAGTCGTGAATAACGCGGCTCGGAAGTACGTGGGTTAACGATGAGGACGATACTGAAAAGACAGGACCAGATACGACTTTTACTTTGTCGTTGGACTGTATCTTATGACGTTTGCGAATTTGCGACGTTCCGTTGAGTCATGAAAAGAGGTCTAAAAACGACGAAAATGTGACGCATTCAGAAGAGATCTAGAATAGCACGAACGAACCCGCAGAAGAAGGGAAGCAGAGGGGCACGCTCTGAGGGAAGGTGAGGGGTTGGTCGCGGCTACCATAGTGGATTATGGAGGGGCACTAAGAGCGCTATGACCACACCTTATTTTCTTTGCAAAGAAAAAAAAATTTGGACAGGTTCGCGAGGCTAGCATTTTTCTTCCTGAACTGGATCTCTACGCCTGGCTACGCGGCGTCAGTTTAGCATATCTATTTCTATTCGCGCAACAATTCCGAACCGATTCTCGCATTTCGGCGAGTTAATACCTAATTTCGAATTATCACGCGACTGAGGAGTCTTTTTGGAGCCCAGAAACCGCTGTCACAATGGATATCCATCGATGTCGATTCGTTCCATACAAACCTTCAGCCATCAACGCCATTGCTTTCTCACACCCCAAGACGCGCTCAGCGGTACAGGCTAATCTTGCGCGACTCGCTATTGGACGAGCCAACGGCGACATCGAAATCTGGAACCCTACGAATGGCTCTTGGAACCAGGAGCTCATCATTCCAGGCGGTAAAGATCGAAGCGTTGATGGACTTGTCTGGGTCAACGAGCCTGATCAGGACCTTGGCGATGGGCGCGTTGTCGCTGGAAAGTCCCGACTGTTCAGCATAGGTTATACATCCACAGTCACCGAATGGGATCTCGAGACAGGAAGGCCAAAGAGACACGCTAGCGGTCAACATGGTGATATCTGGTGCATGGCTGCTCAGCCTGTTGGATCCGACAAGGTTACACTTGGCGCCGACTCTCAAGATTCCACCAAGCTTATCGCTGGTACAATCGATGGCGAGCTTGTCATGTACTCGATCGAGGACGATGATCTTCGATTCCAGCGAGTTATCCTGCGATCGCCTACCAAGAAGGCTCAGATGGTCAGCATTACTTTCCAGTCGCGCAAGGTCGCCATCGTCGGCTGCTCCGATAGCACAATTCGAGCGTACGATATCACAAAGGGCCACATGCTGCGTAGGATGACACTGGGCTCCGATCTCATTGGTGGCTCCAAAGACATCATTGTCTGGTCTGTCAAATGTCTGCCAAACGGCAACATTGTCTCAGGCGATTCAACTGGTCAAGTTTGCATCTGGGATGGCAAGACATACACACAATCACAGCGCATTCAAAGCCACAAGCAAGATGTTTTGAGTCTGGCGACAAGTGCTGACGGCACAGCTATCCTTAGCGGAGGCATGGACCGTCGAACAATCCTTTACAAGCAGAACAGTGGTGCTGGATCACGATGGGCCAAGGTCTGGGGACGAAGGTACCACGACCACGATGTCAAATCTATGGCATCTTTTGAGAGTGGTAGAATCAGTGTTATTGT